AGAATGTAACTGCCCTGCAGAGCAGAGTGTGCTGTGCTGGGTTACCCCAGTTACTGGGTTACCCCAGTAAAAGCAGCCTGCACAAAAGTACACAAAGAATCTTGTTGTCTCTTCTCTCAGTGCTTGTATGCTTGGAAACATTTCCTCTGCAAGTGGTATAAATTTGCTGATCATTCCCAGGAAAGATTTCTTGAAATAATCCTGAAGGAATGAAAGGTCACTGAGCAAAGAGGGCATAACTCTCCCAGCTGGATAATTAAAAAGAAAATTAAAAAGTGTGCTAAGTTTGAGATTGACTTGTGGCCATGCTTTGAAGATTAAAAGGGCTTTTTCATTTCAGATGGAGGAGGCTGGGATTGGTGGGAGGGGGAGTTGTGGCTGCCTGAGCAGTTGGGCAGTGCTGCGAAGCTGTGCTTGCGTTTTACTTATTGAACTGTGAGTGGGAAACCAGGATTGCTGAGCAAAGTGTGGCTCTCTGCTTCCCTCCCTCTTTTACAACATTTAATTTAGCAACTGGAGATTTTAACTCACCTGGTCACTATGCAGGCGGATCTCTGAGCAAACTGCATATTGAATTCAAAGCTGTAAGGTATTTTTTGTATAAACATGTTTTGCCTTAAGAAAATTAAAATAACAGCAGCTTCAGCTGAAGGATGGAACTTTCTGTGTTCTTTGCATAGCCTGTTACCGTATCAGTCTGCTATTTTCTTCTCTGACCTAATGTAGAGCGCACTTTAGAAACTACTTGCAGTCAAAAAACAAGGCAGATAAACTGTTTGTGTGCTGCCTAAATGGTAACAGCGAAATAATGCCACAGGTGGGAAGAGCCAACAGATGTGGCAGGTCCAGACTTAGTGTATAGATGTGCATGTCCATTCGGTGGCCTGCAGCATTGGGCAGGTTGGAGCTGCTGGGCTGGTCGCCGGTCTTCACTTGCGATTGGCGGATTAAGTTTTGGCCTTTTGGGTGCCTGGGCTGTTGGGTTAGCTGTGTGGAGTTCCTCTGGCTGAGTTACTGCACATGGAGTTGGGCTGGATGCTGTCTTCTAAGCACGTGGTGATGTTGACCGTGCTTCCCTGGCGTCTGGGAGTGTCGTAAGGATGCTGTGAGGGTGGCATCCAGCAGCTTCCCTTGGTGCTGTATTGGCCACTGAACTGGTTTTACCCTTGTCAGTCCTCAAAGAAAAGTGATTTGAGTTTGGGCTGCTAATTGCAAACATGCCTGAGGGTCCAGGAGAGATGTAGGTAGCTGGTTTGGTTTATGGACCCATGAATACAGTAGCAGGTCACAGAAAGCATGTTCCTTAGCCGTTAATTTTTGGAGCACATTTGCAGTAAATGGCTTTGGCTTCACTCCCCGTCTGTTCTTGACAGTATTTTCTTGTTTCTTGAACAAAAATCAACCCTAGGCATTTTTAAAGGCACTTCCATCTGGTAATTACTTTTTGTGTGAATGAACCATAGGCATGGTTCATGTTCTGCCTTGAATGACTTCTCAGACCCTAGAATTTAAAAAATACTGTGGTTGCAAGAAAAGCTGTAGGAAACACAGTAACACAGCCTGTAAGGCAGGGTTTAGAAAGGAAAAAACCAAAGTGGATGTGTTTACTAATATGTCATGTGGTTGGTTTGTGTGTGATGTAATTACATCTTCTATGAGTTCACTGGTGCTGAACGCTGCGGATTTGTTAGGACTTGGTAGGAAGAACGCTCACTGAGCCGTGGTTTGGCCGGGTTACTGTGACATCCTTCACCTCACCCTCTCCTTTTTCAAATGGATTTTCATGCAAAGGTGATGTCTCAGTTCTATTGCTCTGCAAAGGGCTCAGTCCAACAGCTGAGTATTGTGCAGCACCTGCTCTGCTGGAACGGGTATTTTTTTTCTTCCTTGTTTTAATAGGTTGTGGAGCAGAGAACCTCTTCTTAACAGTTTTGCACTGATTGCATCTGATTTGCCTTTTATGTTGTTTGTTTCTCTTGTTATTACCTGGCAATATCTGAAGGTTCAAAGGAGTGATTTGGTTACCAGGTGCTTGTGGTCACTGGGTTATGTTATCATCGAATTCAGTTGTGTGAGTCCACCACTGTGCTCCATCCTCGCACACAAGAGACACTTTTCAGTATAGAAGAAACAGATGCTTTCAAAAAAGAATTTTGTCCTAAATTTGAGTGCTGCAAAATCATCCCCTGAATAAATACTTCAGACTCAGAATGCCTGTAAAGTGTCAGCTCACCAGTGCGTGTCTACCAGCAAGCATTTGTAATTCAGCTATGTCTCTCTGAAGTATTTGTTTCATGCTTAAACTGAGCACTGTGTAACTGGGAAAGAGGCACAAAATTGGATTTCATCACAGTAATCAGAAGTGAACTCCTCCGAGGAGTAACATCCTCAAGCAAGAGAGGTGCTTCTGTCAGCCCAAGCTTCAAATATTAAGCAGGGCATAAAAATGATGACTGGTTATGCAGGATCGTTACGACAGTCTGCTTCCTGCATGGAGAAGTGGAAGATAAATTGTCGGCTGTGATTTCACTTCCATCAATAAAATGCAGCAACACATAAAGCTTCCCGGAGGGTTTGAATTACAGTAAGTAAAGCGCAGCTCTGACACGCTGCTCGCTTGCGTAAAACAGGCTTAGTGGGGCAGCTGGAAAGAGAGCCAGCTGATCTGGAGGTTCCTCCTGTTCCAGACTGATCCAGAAGGTGAAGACTGCTGTGCTGTGGCATAAAATCCCCCATTTCTGTTCTCAGCTTTTCATTCCCCTGTCCTTTGCGTTATTACAGTATTTGAAAATGCACTGTATAATATTGTGCTGTCTTGAAACCGTAAGATTAAATCTTGAATCAGCATTCATTTCAAGCGTAGCAGTGATTAAGTACCTATTCACTGCAAGCAATTGCATGCAAACAACAGGCAATTAGATCTGTCTGGTGGATGGGAGAAGCTGGACTTGGAGTGAAGGCCTCCAGATCAGCAGGTGGTTTGTTTGAACTAAATTATGGAGTATAAATACTAACTAACGAGAAACAAATTTTTGTAATGATGAAATTGTCCACTACCTGATGATGACCTTTGAACCGGTTAGCCTTAATGGTAAGGTAAATATACAAGTCTTGGTTAATTGAATACTTAACTAATGTTACTGGCATTGAACTCAATTATACTTTGAACTTTGACATCCATGGCAAACAGCGTTTGAGTTCCTGGTTATTCGTTTGTTTTGTTTTTTGCAAGAAATAAAGAAGTTTAAAGAAATAATTGTGGATGCTAGAGATTAGCAGTCATTAGGTGTGAAGAGTCAAAAAGCAAATATCTTGTTTGTTTTTCCAAAACTTACTTCTTTTTTTGCCATTAAATAGTCATAGAATCTGATGGGAGGAGACCCATAAGGACCACAGATTCCAACTCGTGCTCCCTGAAAGCACATCAAATGTCTTGAAGCTGGAATAGCTTCAATAGCTTCCACCATACTCCTCCAAAGTATGAACGACCTCATAGGCTGTCTGGGTCTATTGTACAGCTGTTGATTTCTGATCTTAAAGCATCAGATATGGGGAAGCTTGCATTAGAGACTGCTTGCATTGGAGGCTGTAAGCTTTCTCTTCACTGGACTTAGGAAATGTTTTGGGTTTTGTGGGTCAACTTTGGCACAAATGTTGGGAATCGGAAGCCAAGAGCCTAGGAAAGAAGCTGAGAATTGGAAAGTGAGCAAATGGAGGAGGGAACCTTTCAACATCTCTTTCCAGTGGAGACTAAATGTAAAATAATGTGTTTTTATATACACGCATATTACACAAAATTATTGTTGGATATAATTGACTTTCTTTCATGAATTCTTAATAAACGATGTAACACATGTAATAACAATTAATTGTGCCCTATTCAGTGGCTCATCCTATGATGGAAGGACAAGCACGTGCCAGTGCCTGCTGTGCTGATGTTCCAGTGAAGCAAGCTCTTGATGAACTTTGCTAATTGCGCAGTGCTTGCTGTGCTCCTTGGGAGAAAGGAGCTAGATGGCGCCCTCGGCCTTTGCCTGCTCAGCTTTGGGTTCAAAAGGTGCACTTCAGGTGAAACGTGGGCAGCATCCCGCAGCTGAGTGCTGCTTTCTGGAGTCCTGTGTACACAGTCATGGCGTTGGCTGTGGGAGTGATGGTGGCTTGTTAACACTGCAGACTCATGTCAAGGTTGCTGCTTTTCCCTCGTACAGGGACAGGGTTTGGACTTAGGACATGACAGATGTAAAGGGCCTCCTGGAGGGCTGGTAATGCCGTGCATCTACGTGGGAGACTTCAGAGTGGGGAATGGTGTTTACAGCAAGCAAAGGGGATGTGCTTGCTGGAGAAAGGCCCTTCAGATGAGTGCCATCCTCATCCAGAAATAGAGGTAGTCAGGGAGATAAGGACACACTGTACATTATTAACTAATGGAGTTTGTTGTTTTAACTCTCTCCTGTTCCTCCTCCCTTACCGTCTCAGGCTCTGAGCATCTCTGTGATAAAGCTGTTCCATCAGTAAAGTGAAGGAGCCCATGTGGGGTACATTCTGTGCTCTTGCTGAGACTGGATTGCTGGTCCTTGTGTTACGGAGCAGAGCTTTTGGATCTGGGAACTGTTGAAAGCTGGCTAATTGCTAATAAAAATATTTCCTTGCAAGTTGCACAACTGAGGGCTATGGAAATGCTAATTTGTTCATCAGAGGCAGGAGGAGAAAATTCCCTGTCCTGATTACAGCTGCTGGAGTCTGGCATGTAAATATTTATGCAGTTTGATTTTGAGGGCCCTGGCCGGGTTATGAGAAGTTCTTAAGCCTCCACGCACAGTTCTTACGTGTGCTCTCTGCTGTTGCTCAGGGATTCTGTCCCTTCCCTCAACTGTGGTGGAGGCATGTAGTAACAATTTATGGCCGTGTGGTGTCTTCCTGCATTTCAGCATTGTGTAACGTGCAGAGATGTTGATTGGGCAAAGTACAGTTATACAATGTCGTGAGCCCAACCAGATTATAAAAGTCTGATGCCTGCATCCTTTCAGGCTGTGGCTTGCAGCTTGGGCTGTTGCTCTGAGCACGAACTGGAAGAGACGCCAGTAGAGGAGCTGCCTGAGACGATCTCCAGGGGTGAGCCTGGTGGTAAGAGGGCTTCTCTGAGTCCAGGTGTTCACAGGGATGGTTACAAAAGCTCAGTGCTGTAGTGTAGGCATGATTATAAATGAGATGATTTAAACTTGATCACTTCAGGTTTTCCATAGCTTAAGTTTCAATATACAGAAGATTTTGGTTTTTTTTTTCCATTTTAAAATTATCATGATCAAGAGAGATTCAGAAGTGTTTGCTTGTTTCTGTTTACTTGTAAACTTTGGATTCCTTTTATTTTTAAATGGGTGGAAAATAAATGAGATTTTTGTCCTAAAGAGAAGGTTTTAATGTTTGACCCCAGAAGGGCGTCATCTGGATTAGTTTTTGAAAGTTTCTTGAATTCCAGATCTTTTATTGAGTTCTCTTAAATAGAAGGGAAATACTCAATTATTTCAAGTTAAGCTTAACAGATCAACTCTTTATTTACCTCCGTGCATGTGTACATCACATGCAGTGTGACCAGTTATTGATTTTATGTTGTTTACTGGGCTAATGTTGTTTTCTTCCAGCAAGGGATATCAGTTTCAAAGGTAGACTTGGGAATGGTGAAGCCTTTGGAAAGGAGCTTTGTACCCAGAGATGGGAAAGCTGGCACATTACCCTAGTTTGCTTAATAAATGGGATTTTTCATAGATGAGTCTCTAACTTCACCTTTTTTTCTTGTGAATGTGATTAAGGTCTTGGAGAAAAATAGCTTTCATCAAAGTGCCAAGTGAAAGTACAAAGGAAGCTGAGAAAAGAGCCAGTGTGCGCTCAGGTTGCTGAGTGCTGTACAGGAGCTTAATGAACTATGTATTAACATCCATAATAATGTGGGGATATCTGAATTCTTCAGTTATTAGTGCTTCATAGGGAGGCTGTAAGGGCTGCATGCTATTGTAAATCAAGTTAATGTGTACCATAAACAGAGATGGAGGTGTGCTTGGCTAAAAATAAAGCTATAAAGTAGAAATGTGTTTCATAAAGCAGAGTGATACAGTATTTCATTTTTATTTATCCCATCACTGTCTGTAGAATATTGCTAGCGTCACTTGCTATCAGTCGTGTAGGATCAAGCTGCAGAGCTATTTGCTAAATCTTGCCTGCATTTCTTTGAAATGTGTTATGGCTTCTGGGCACTCCTTTTGTGCCTTTTCCATAGGACCTTAATGCACACCATTGTGGGCATCAAATAGGTGTCCTGTGGAGAACAACATGTGTACCTCAACAAAATTTGGCAAAGCCATTGCCTGTTAGAACAACAAAATGGGAGAAATGCTGTGAGAAGCATACAAGCTTGACAGATTTCTGACCAAAGGCGCACCTCCACGTTCACACATACATCTTAGAAAGGTAAATATTTCAGATATTTTCGTTTACAATCGAAGCTATGTTAACTCTACAATAATTGGAGTAACCAAGCATCGTTTTTGAAAGCTTTAAGATCCTTTGTTAAATATCTCATTCATTTGGACTTAAGTCCTCTTCTCAGCAAGCTCATTCGCATAGGAAGCTAATGAGATTTACCTAATATACTTTAAATCAGCAGCAGGTTTGAGCTGGGCATAACTTTCCTGCGCAGCGTTGTGTAGGCACTGATAACGTCGGTCAGCTCAGCCATACTTTCTGCACCGTGGTCAAAATACCAACTACTTAAAAACTCATTAGTGCCTACAAGGAGGGAATACAGTGGTGCTTTGACAACGTGCTTTGAAGTGGATGAGAAACAAGCTTGGGACTTACTGAAGTGCTCCTTCAATCTTGCTTTTTGTAAGTTAAATGTTTGGGCATATTTCATGCTTTTTGGGAAGGGGTGTCTTGTGGGGAAGTGCTTTAGAATTTAAAGCACATTTGGTTGAATGTGGATGTAGTTGCTCTTAATTGGAGGGGGAAAATCTTATCTGCTGCAGTTTAGTGCTGTTTCATTTAGCAGGAAGGGCACGTGGTTGGGACAAATTCAAAGATTTTCCAGACCAAAGAGGCTCTGTTTCAAAAGAGCCCGAGGAGATCTCTGCTGAAGACTAAACCAAGGAGATGGTTTTTACGTGTAACAACAGAAGATGAAGTGTGGGAATTATGCAACCTTTTCCTTGTCTGTGAGATGGTCAAATTCCCCTGCAAGGCTGAAAAAATGCCTTTTGGGCACACCTGTGTATCTGGACTGGTTTTTGAGGTAGGGACTTCACAGCCGCGGTATCTCAGCACCAATCTTGAGATGTAACAGTAGTGGTCAGTGTTGAGGCAGTTGTGGGGCTGCAGATGGGACTCGTGTTGTGTAATGCAAAGAGATTGCTGGGCTTTATTAGGCTTGCTGATGAGAGATTGTTGATGAGTCCTTTGGACGGGGGAGGAATCTTCTTGCTGTGTAGGAAAACACAGAATCTTGGAATACCCCATGTTGGAAGGAACCCATAAGGGATCACAGAGTCAAACATCAAGCAGCTTCAGAGGCAGTTTGGTGTTGGAACGTAGCTGCTGTTTTGATTACTTGTAATTTGGTCATTAGTTTTAAACCCTATGATAAAGTGCTGCTCCGTTTGAACAGCTTCTCAGAGGTGGTATCTCAGGCTTCGTGCTGCCGAATAGCAGGTGGGAATGGCTGTGGTGAGCAAGCTGGAAAATAAAGGGGGAAATCTCACTCTGAGAATCATCAAGTGTTAAAAAGAGCTCAGCTTGGGACTTGGGTGAGTGAGCACTCATATAAAGGAACCTGCCTATTGCTCTGCCTCCTGTCTAATGCATGGAAGACCAGGTGTGTCTGATCACAGGAAGAGAAGAACGACCAAAAAATCAGTACAGAGGTTTTGTATGGCTGGTGTAACCGAAGCCAAGAGCAAAATGGAGAAAGCTGCTGTTCTGTAATTAACTGGGAATTGCCTTGCTTTTCTGTTGTTGCGTGTCTGGCCCAGGGTAGCTGCTCCCTCTAAGTATACTTGTCTAATTGGAGCCTCTACAAAATTCCTTGATTGTCTGCTTTTCAGTCCTGAAAACCCAGAAGCATTCCTGTTTCCCTCATTGCCCCGACACAGCGCTTCAGTGAAGGATTTCTTTGAAAACTTCCCTGATCTCTTGGCATCCATCCCGCTGCCTTCTGCAGAAAGCTCTGGTGCTGCTCCCAGCTGTGACTGCCTGTCTCCTCCTCCCGCTCCCTCAGTCCACGTCATCTGTCATCTGGCAGCCAAACTGTAAGCAACCCTGTCCTGCAGCATCCTCAGTGCTGGGGAGTAGTAGTAGCTACTTTATGTAAATACACTTCTTGATGTTGGGTTTTTTTTTGTTAACTGAACAAAGTAAATCACGTTTGCACGATTGTATGACGCTGCAGGAATGGAGAGTTTAGCTGCAGACTCCGGGGTCAGCTCTGCAATGCCTGCTGGGGTAGTGAAGGGGATTTAAAGTTCGGCTTTATCTTCTGCTTGGACTTGGTGTAATCTAACAGTAAAACATCACAAAGTTTCACAGAATCACAGAATGGCCCAGGTTGGAAGGGACCTCAAGGATCATCAATCTCCAGCCCCCCTGCCACAGGCAGGGCCACCAACCTCCCCATCTGATACCAGACCAGGCTCCCACAGCCCCATCTGACCTGGCTTTGAATGCCTCCGAGGACACAACCTCTCCAGGCAGCCTGTTCCAGCACCTTACCATTCTATAGTAAAGAACTTAAGTATGGAGAGTGCAGGTTCCTTTCCACATCTGTTTTGTGTCTGTTGCCAAATACAGCCCCAGACAGAAAGGATATCTTGATTTATATTCAGACACAGTGCATCCTTGGTTTTCAGTGTATACCTGGAAGTGGACATGGTGGAACATCAGAAATCCTGTTCAGATTACTCGCCTTGTAACAGCAGGGCATTGGAGCTAGATGATCTTTAAGGTCCCTTCAAACCCAAGCCATTCTATGAATAAGCACCCTGATTTTGTTTAAAATTTAGGTGAAGCTGACCTTGGTTGTAAGATCAGACAGCTTCTGGCTGAGCATCGTCCCTGCTTGCGGAAGAAAGCTGTTGATATTTGCATGAGTCTGACAACGAATTACAATTAATAAACTGAAGTTTGTAATTAAGCTGTCACCTTGATTTGTTTCTAATCTCCTTAATGTGTGCAGTAGGCTGAGCTTGTTGGCTCTTCAGCCCTCTGTAAAAGCCAAGCAGATCCTGGGTTGGCTGTGGCTCCTTCCTCGTGGTGTGTGACATGTGCATACCAGGTGGCATACCTACACCTACTGCTTCTGGGAGCTTTTCCATCAGTACACTCTAAAGAATGTGCTTTTAATGCCAGCTTGTTTTATAACCACGCCTTTTGTGCTTATTTCCCAAATATTTCCCTTGCATGTCAGTGGAAGGCCACCAAATGTAGGTCAGCTCCTATATTACAAATCAAGAAACCACAGCAGCTGCATAACCTGCTAATTCATTTGTGACTTCAGTTAGGCTAAGGGATAGGAAGGATGCACTCACTTCTCAGGCTAACTGGGATTCTCTAACTTTTTTTATCTTGGCTTCCTTGTCTTCTGGGCTTCTCTGAGGTGAACATTGTTTGTACCATCTTTTGATGCCCACTTGAGTTGTGTTCAAACTTTGTGCTCATTGCTGTATTTTGAGTAATGTTTTTGTAGGGTGAGCGTAGCTCAGCTGCTAGAAATTCATGATCCAGCTGAAATTTGGAAAGACCCTTGTGGTTTTGTTTTGAGTTGAGCAATTAAGGAAACTCATGAAGCTGCTTCCTTCTTAAAGCTTCTGGGAGAAAAGTAACATCATGCTAACACTGTGGAAAACTGGTAGTTATCAGAGTTGCAAGTCATTGTGATAGTCATGGGAACTTCGGGTCTGAGCTGAGCTGCTTTGAAGGATCCAGTTACGTGTGTGCTTATTGCAGAAGCCAGGAGATGAGCACTGCAGGATTGCCAGTATGTCACGTTGAAGGCCCTCGAAAGCAGCACTGTAGAGAGAAACGCCGTGAAAGCAAATTTTATCCTTTTTGCCCTCTTAGACAAATGAGGGGAAAAAAAGCAGAGAACAGTTTTAATGTCATTGAACCCAAAAGTGGTTCTAACTTCTAGCCTTTGTGTTTGAGTCGAGGCAGCAGATAATTTGTGTGTATGCAGCTGGTTTCACATGAGTTTTATCTCCAGTTGCAGAGCTTTTCAGCTTCTGATCAGCTGGGTTTGTTGTGGAGAGCTATAAAATGTGTCAGCCACCTGCTTTGGCTGTGGGCAGTCAGGGTGAGAGCTCTGATAATCACAGGATCATAGGGACTGCAAAGGACCTCTGGAGATCCCCCAGTCCAACCCACTGCCAGAGCAGGTTCCCTGCTGTGGGATACACAGGAAATAATGCTCTCCGTCAGATTGCTGCTGCTGCTGCCTAGAGATTTCTCCTTTGGTTTGACACTTCTCATTGCTGAATAAAAGCATTCTGAAGATGTGTGGCTATCTGTGCCAGTAAGTGCCAGTTTAATTGCTGGGCAGGAGCCATTATAGCTTGGAGATTTGTTCTTGTTTGCCCTGGACTGTGCACCAACATACAAATGTGTGGTGTCTGTGTGGGCACGTCTGGGTATATGTGCAGAAACTGGTGTGTATGCAAACACAACCTTCCTCCAGGGAAACAGCAGATGAGGTGTTTTTGTCTGCTCTTTTGGAGTCATTACTTTGCTGTAATCTGGGAGCCCTCCTCCATGCTGTACCTTTCTAACTGTTGTGTTTCAGCTCTAAAGAATTAGTACAAGGCATAGCTTGCTTGTGTGATCTCCTGATGTAATTCTCAAGAGCAATTCCCAAGGAATGTTCACATCAGCTTGGAGAAAATAGCAGACGTTTTATTTTGCACTGCACAACAGTAAGTTTATATGGTCTTTTCTTTTGCATCAGTGCATATGCTGGTTAATGCTGATTAGATATAATGCTAATATCTGGAATACCTTAAACCTGATCTCCTGAACTGCACGGTGCTGCTGGTCCAGCCCCCACAGTGGTGCTTTATTGGCATGGCTGTATTTGTTAGGGAGGTGTAATTCTCTCCTTTCCCTTTTCCTTTCCAAACCTGAGATATGTCAGCTGCCAGAGCAAACTAAGCCTGTCTCCATTGCTGGTTTTCTTGGAGAATAATATATGTCTATGTTGAAAGAAAAAGATAAATTCCTTTTTTTCTTTTAACACTTTTTGTGCTTGACAAAAACTCCCTTGTGCTTCTACCATTAAAACAAACAAAACCTCTCAAAATCACACACCTGCCCCCGAACTTCACCTAAATAAGCTTGTTATAAAACGTCAAGTCTGGTGAATATTTGAACTAGTCCTCTCCTTTAGTCTTAATTGCAAGTGAGAAATAATTAGTTATGCTCTCCTACTATTTACTTGGAGAAACAGATCTTAATTAAGCCCTTACTTGAAGGCGGTTCTCTCAGTTCCATTTTGATTTAATTAGGGATGCTTTGAGGGCATTTCAGCACCCAAGCAGGTTCTATTTTGTACGTATATTTTGTGTCTTGGGAAGTTGCTCACTTAGAAAGGTGAATATCTGTTTTGCTTCAAGTAACCAGAATTTTCTAGCAAATGGGCAGCTAAGAGCTGTTAGGAGATTTTAAAAGCAGTCAAGTACCTCCATGAGAACAGTCTCTGTCAGGTTTCATTCTTGCAATTACAGCAGATGTCTGAGCTGCTGACATTTTCCTGAGCAATATTTTGAAAGGGAGGTTTAAGTAAAAACACCAAACTCTACTTTTTGGCTTTCTTACATACACATAACTGAGTTTTTTTTGAATGTCCATTAGTTGCATTTCCACCTCCAGCAATTAGGTTGGAAATGCCATTAACTTGCTTTTAAAGTAATGCCAATGTGCAGTGGGGTTTTGCTGCTTGAATGTGTTCCTGTTTTTGCAGAAAATTTCACTCGTTAAGGTTTTGAAGAGCATTTTTCAGGTTCTGTCATGTACTTCTGTCTGTAGCTTAGGTTGTTTCATCCACAGCTGCCTGCAACTACGCTTAATTTGTTGGTAGCTCAGTAACCACAGGTTGCAGAACTTGGTTTGCTTTAGGAATGTTTGATGCTTTCCCACAGAAAGTGTAGGTTCACATCTGTTGATTTGTGCTCCTTAGTCTTGGAAAAGGCAAAAGTGTGGATGGCCAAGGACTGGCAGGTTTCTTTTAAGGAGCAAATGTGGGAAAACTAGGCTGTAGTGACCCATCTAGTAAAGCAAAAGGACTGGTAAGCTGTATGATCTTTCCTGCTTCTGTGCCAAAACAGCAGCGATGCCAATTAAAATGCAGGCTCAGTTTTGCCCTGAAGCAGTTGCTTTGACATCATCAGGCAGTTCACTTTGAAAGTCCCTCGAGAAACTGGGATAATTTGGGGGTAATAGGCTCAGTGCTTCACTGTCATTCTAATCTCAGCTTCCTGGATGCTCTGTATTTGAAGATGTTATTCTAAAAAGAAGAATTTAGTTATTTAGAAGCGAAGTTATGATTAGGTCCACAAGTTGAAATCCTTTGAAGGAGTGGAGTATTGTTTGCAATGGGTGTAGAACAGCAGGCTGTTTGGCATCTGCATTGCTGAAGTACAGGCTTGCTTTGTTCCCCAAAACCCATTTAGAAATGACTGTGCAGTAGAAACAAAGCCGGAATTGAAATATGCTGCCAATAATTGAAGACCACAAGTAAAGGATGAGAGAATAATCACAGTGGTCCCATCCTGGAAAGAACTTAAAACACCATCAGCCTTATTTTTAAGTGATATCTACTCATTATCAAATCAAGAGAAGGAATGCTGAGTGTTTGTGAGTCATGAGCACGAGAAGGAACCATGTCTGCAGGGCTTGTGTTTGTGCATTTAACTTAGATAACTGAGGGGAAAAAATAAATCCTGTCTTTAATTCCAGGTGCTGACGGTACTTAAAGTAAACAACCTGAGTATCCCAGCTGGTTTGCTGAAGACATCTGTGATTCCTGGAGCTGCTGTTGTCTAAATAAGAACCTGTCCTGGTAGTACCTGGCTTCAACCCAGAAGCATTCTCTTGGGTCCTGTATGCAAGTCCATGACGTACTGGAAACGATGGGGATTGGTAAGAATACCACGTCGAAGTCAGTGGAGGCAGGAGGCTCAACAGAAGGCAAATATGAGGATGAATCCAAACATCCCACCTTTTTCACTCTGCCTGTAAGTAACGAACTCCATTCTCGAGCTCGGTGTGACTCAGTCCATCGGGCTTTGTTCTAATTGTGTCCCATGAAACCTGACCATCCGTAAGTAGTTAGTAAAAACTCTTTTCCCACTTGTTTCTGTTTATATGTAAACATGGCCAATTATGTTGTCTATAGTTATTTCCTGTGTGTGCTCCAAAGAAAGTCGTGCAGTTCCCCAGGCAGTTTGTGATTAGAACAGTTGATGGTAATACTGCAAAACACACCAGCCCCCATGAGGAGTATACCCTATGTTCTTTGCCTGAGAGTAGCAGGCAGCAGTAAAGAAACAGCTGCTGATCACCTTTTACTTAATTAGATTTTCATTACGTCCTTCATGTCTAGGCTTCAAAGTGCTCTGTGTGATGCCTTTCAAATGTGTGTGTTCCTAGACATGCTGTTAGAGAAATAACTGCTTCTCATGTGTGTTACCTTTTCTGACAAAATGTCAAAGGCACTTGTTAAGTGCAAGCCAGGGGGGAGATGGCTGATGTGAGCTGCTGTTGCAGAGAAAATGTTTATTTTAGCACTTCTTTGTTTTGCTCTGTTTTATTTTTAAGGTTGTGATTAATGGTGGAGCAACATCGAGTGGTGATCAGGATACAGAAGACACAGAGTTGATGGCCATCTATACTACAGAAAATGGCATAGCAGAAAAGGTATTTGGTTGTTTCCTTTTATACAAGAACTCATTCTTGCTTGTTCAGTGCTATTATTTGCTCACAGTAGTTTTCCTTGGCTGTGAGATTTTCTTTCTCTAATAGAATTTGCTGATTTGCAGTCCAGATGGGGTCTGGGGGAGTTTTGACCTCGTGATTCTTCTGGTCACACGTTTCAGTTGCAGAAGTTGGAGGATGACTCAGCAGGCGCCAGGAGCAGTTGATGTGCTGTGACCTGCTGCCTGATTTCATCATAGGCAGCTTTTGCATCTCTTCGTTTCCATTGGCCTTTTCATGAGATTTCCCTGCTAAGATCCTTTTCTTTTGTTCTTCAGTTCTTAATTTTTCCAGTGTTTAGTCAAACTAGCGGTGTTGAGCACCCTTGAAAGTGGGATCTTTTCCAGTTTCTTCTGAGCTCCAACCTAATAGACTTAATTTTTCTAATTGTTCTTGTAAGTTGGGAACTTATTATTATTTTGTGACAGCTTTTATGAGTGAAGATCGGGTCATTCGTAAAGACCCTTGAAGATTTTTACCTTAGGACAACTGTGTTTGTCTTTTTCCTATTTGGAGGCCAGTTTGATTGTGCCTTTTCAGCTTTCTTCTTCCATTCTATTGCTTTTCAATCCTGTTTAATAATCTTGCAAACAGAGACAGTATGAATCATCTGAACTTTTTAGAGGAAGAAGATTACAGGAAATAAGAGAAGCACTTTTTTCTCAAGTGTTCATTATCTGATTGGCTCTGTGGTTAAGCATTATTTCAGAGAAGCCTCAGTTTGGCAGTTTTTTTTTTTTTTTAATGTCTACATTGAAACAAGGAAAAACTCCTTTGGGTCCTTAAAAGTGCATCTTGACGTTTGCTTATATGAACCTTAGCTGCTTCTGGGACAAGGATGATCTTAAGTAGTGTAGTTAGTTTTCGAACTCAGACATCAAAGTTCACTTCAGAACATACCCTGGGCAGGTAGTTGTGATGCAAGTCTTGTGTTACATTTTGGAAGAATGTCTGAATGCTGCAGCGTGCATTGTGTGCAGTGTGTCTACACGTGTTCTGTATGCAGAAATCTGTCTCATACACATTTCTGGTACCATCTCGATCGTGCTGATATTATAATGCTTCTTGACAGCTCTTCCCTTTTTCCTTGCAGTTCTTCAGCTTTCTCTTGGTCCTTCCTAGTTTTGTACTTCATAACACGAGTCTTCATATCTTCATCTTGCATGATTATTTTTATTGATTTTTTTTCCCCCTGTTTGTTTCTATGTCATTTCCCAACATTTTTGCTCTGCCTTTCAGTCTCATTCTTTTTCCTGTACGTAACTATTCTGTGTTTGCTTTTTTTCCAATTTGTGTTGTCCCACTTGTGGGCAGTTAAAAATTTAAAAAATGAATTAATCTCTGATGAATATCTCATTCACAAAGGCGCAGCTTATTCCTGGCAGTTCCCTAAAGCATAATATTATGGCACACTTGGCAAGCACCAGCATGTAGTCAGTATATGGAACCAGCAGGCGCATGCTTGAGATAATAAATGGCCAGTGACTACCCAGTGACTTATCACCTGTAGCCACACCTTGCCCTAATGGTTGCCTTGATGTCTCTTATGCCCACTCCCTTTAACTATTACCACTGAAGTTCTGAGCAAGTTGAAAGCTTCCTTGTTCAAAGCAGAGTAAATCTGGATTTTGGAAGAGAGGAGCAGTATCCTGAATGCTGTCTGTGCCCTCACTTTGCTGTTTGGGAAGGACACTGCTATCATATTTCTTCTTCAAAGTGAGAAAAATTCAGTTGTAGGGGATCTATGAAGTCATCAGTGACGGCTGAGTGTTGCGGGGCTGAGCAAAAGTTAAAGCATACTATTGAGGGGATTGACCAAATGCTTCTTGAACACAAGAACGGGGCATCAGCTGCCTCTGAGAAGCCTGTTCCAGTGTTTGGAGCACCCTCACAGTAAGGGAATTTTTCTTCATCTCTATTTTGAACGTACCCTGATGCAGACTTGTGCTGTTCCTGTAGGCTTTACTGATTACCAGGGAGAAGAAGCTGGCACCTCCTCATTTCCCTTCCTTGGGATGTTGTAGAGAGCAATGAGATCATCTCTGTGACTTGTAAACTAGGCAACCACTCATCACAGAACATGCCCTCTGATCCTTTTATCAGTTCATTGCTCTCTTCTGGACGCGTTCAGGGACTTAACATCCTTTCTGTGTTGTGGAGTGCAGAACTGACACAATTACTCAAGGTGAGACTGCACCAATCAGCAGGAGAATCATCTCCTTGGACCAGTTGGCCATACTGTGTTTAATTCTCTGTAGATGACTATAAAGTTAGCTAACTCTAATCAGCAGGGATATTCCCAGGCTCCCAGCATCTTTGGTAAATTGTTCAGAGTGATCATGAGGTTTAACACCTGCTATTTCCTTCAGCACTCTGGAGTGGATCCTGTCAGACCCCATGGACTTCTTCAGACCATGGAGCTGATTAAAATGATTTCCTTACAGTTTTGGTGACCACGAATATAAAGTTGCTGAGAGTCCCAGTAATGATCCTCCTGCTTGCAGGACTGGCAGCCCGAGCTCTGTCATTGATATTAAAAAACTGAGACGTTACATTCTTCTGCCTTTTCCTCATCTTCACTTGTTGGGTGAATGGTTTCACTAGTTCTAAATCCTGTGTTTTTCCATAGAGCTTTCCTTGCTATTGATATACTTGAAGCCTTTTCTGTTGTCTGACAGCACAAAGACCACTGTCAACTCGAACTTCAGCTTTTCTTGTTTTCTTCCTGCAGGTGCAAACTGCAGCTCTGTAATCACTCCTTGAAACCTGATCTTGTTTCCAGGGATCACATATCTTTTATTTTTTGCCCTTGTTCCAGGAGGAGTTCCCTTTTCAGCCAGGCTGATCTTCTGCCCTGCTTGCGTAACGTGGAGCGCAGTGGGATTGCCTGCTCCTGAGCTTTTAAAGATGGTTATTGAAAATCAACCAGCTCGCATGGATTCCCAGGATACTCTGCTAAAATGCTTTTGATAGAAGAGTAAGAAAGTTGGCTCTCAAGAGCTTAAAGTTGTTGCCAATTGTCAGTATGTCTGGAGAGCTTTATGCAGACCAGTTGGCTTGTTTCTAAGCCAAGTGCCCGCTGAACCTTTTCTTCTTTGCAGACAAACGTAGGCATAAATGTAATAAAATTACATTTATGTAATTTTACTTACAATTATACACACATAAAAATACATGTATTTATTAGGGAATGCTTCGCCGTGCTGCTTTATAATGACAGAAGTGTATCACAGGATCTTCTCCAGGTGAATCTGACATTTCTCTGACTTTTATCAGCTTCCAAATCTTCTTTCTGCATGTCTTTGTGGCTCAGCCTCTTTGTGCTGTACCTTGGATTTATGCAAACTTAGGTTGACATGGGATATATACGTTTTCCAGAGTTCCTATAAGAGAAAAGATCTGCACAGGTTTACAGCTGCTCTGTGCTCTCCCTTCAGTATGAGATGAAGCTCTGAAATTCTACTTCATAACTTTTTTTTTATTATAATTTTTTAGAGAACTCAGTCAAGGGAGCAGTCTTTCACTTTTTGGCCAATGAAAAATGATGCTGCATGCTGGTAAATTAACAGTTGTACTTACTGGCCTTTTCAAGAGCTACACCTTTAATCTTGGTGAGCAGAATGCCTGATGCTGAAGGCAGTTTAAGTCTTTTGAAATCAGTGTTTTTCTATTTCATATTCTATTGTAATAACCGTAGTCTTTCCTTAGCAATGTGATTGTTTATGCTGTCTGAATTTGAATTGGTGTTATTACCCAGTGCTAGATAAAAGGCAAATGCTGTAGGTCCATTTGGCTTCCCTGACCTTGCAGGTGATAAACAAAGTGGAGATTATCTAAGAGTGATCTGCATATGTGTTGTGATTTCGGAGAAGTAAAGGCTGTGTGAAGCGAAGTCACAGGTCTGGCAAAAGCGCCGGCCTGTTGGGTAAGGCTGCTTCACTGAGATCAAGTGCAAGTGTGGATTAGGTCAGAACAGTAGTTACATAATGTCGTTTTTGGATAGCTGAGCTGAAATGATGAAAACTGATACTTCCTTCTACTTTTGTTGTTGGTTCTTAATGCTCTGAAGTGTTTGCATTTTGATTCTCAGGAATTGGAAAGCAGAGAGTTATAAACAATTCCACTTAGTTGTAAGGAAGAAGTGGTTGTGCTGAATCTTGTTTTAATGGAATATATGTGGGGATTTTAGAGCCTGTGTAGCTCTGATGAGTGTTCTGTTAGCGGTGTATGAGGGCCCGTGGAAGGCCCCAGTGTGGTCTCACTTAAATTCCTGTAGGTTTGCATACAAACGGACCATGTATGTATTCAGTTACAACAATTAGGATTTGTTCGTGTATGAAACATGAGGGACATGACTGTGGGATGGGGAAAAGAAAGCTATGTTACGGCTAAAAAATGGTTAACCAAGATTCAAACTGGGTAACAGTTAAGCTGGGAAGCAGCTTACAGGCTACACAAATGAGGAGCTTCCTTGCCTGTGATTTAGGCCTCTTATGCAAAGGTGGCTGTTTGACTTTGCAGATAGCCATTGTTGATTCTTTTTCTTAGTTCCAATTCCTCATTTTTCTTTCTTTTTTTTTAACATACAGTATTCTGAGACACTGTGTGGCTGCCAGGTTGGTTGTACCATAAATGAACTGTTGTGGTAGTGTAAGTAAACAGGAAATGGTTTATATACACGTGATTTGTTCAGTGCAATTTCTGTAGCCAGAATTGTAGATGAGCCCATCATCGAAGGTAGAAGGTTTCTGAAAATGCAGCGTACAGATGTTGCTTGGGATTATTACACCAGACTTGCAGCATTTGGGAATTGCCTGATAGTTCAAATTCAGATTACTGCTATGTAATATTAACCTGTGTTATGTTTTGTGTCCTCCTCCACCTTTCTACCCTCCCCCATTTGATAGAGTTCTTTGGCAGAGACACTGGACAGCACTGGCAGTTTAGATGCTCAGAGAACTGATATGATTTACACTATTGAGGATGTTCCTCCGTGGTATCTCTGCATATTTTTGGGGTTACAGGTATGTTTCAAAGCAGCCATTCTTTTTTCCTCTGGCATTTTTTTAGCACTTTCTGTGTATGTGATAATTGATTCTTCCCACACTCTCACACATTTGAAAAGCTGTTAAGATAGCTTCTTCTGAAGTTGATCACACAGTAACTTTACTATGTTAATAATGACCTCTATTATTGCTGGCTTAGTTACTAGTGAGGTTCACTTAAATATTTATTATTCTAAGCTATTGTTAGGTAGGAGGTAAGTTAGCAAACAAAGTGTGAAGCTTCAGAAACTGACGCTTCATACCTCTAGAATTAATGATGATGGGAGATAATTGTTTACTGCTAAAACCTTGAATATTAACCTGATACTGTAGTGGTTTCTGTTCTACAAACTTGATAGCACCATCCTGCAGCAATTACCTGCAGACTTAGTAATAAGCAGGGTGGGCAAATTCTGTCGCTGCTCTTGGATAGAATGTGTGTGCATCTTGCAGATGTGATTGTAGTGGTGAGCTGGACCGTACTTCTGGCCCAGCCACTCACTTATGTGAAGAACAGCTCTTCTCATCTCGCTTCCTTCTTGAATGGTAATAAAATCTATCCCACAGGAATGCTGAGAATTTGTTAATATCTGTAAAGTATGTTGAGATCTCCAAACAACTACATTCCAAGGCATCTTTCTTACTTCTGCCTTTCCTTTGAGGGCAGGCAGTTCTGTAAGGATTATTGTTGGATATGGTGACACCTATTTGTTTGCTTAACATATTTAGATTGGGAAGGAATTAATGAGTACCTATTTTCTGATACTTGGGAGCTTATTTGCATCCTAGTGTGTAAGTGCTTTAAATTCGTTTGTAAGCTATTGGCTTTTCACATGGTTGAAAATGAATGAAGTTGACTGTCTGCTTTTCTGAGTTGAAAGCTGTTTTCAGCAGTTGACTGAGTACTTCCTCATCAAGAACAGTAGCCGTGCAGCCATGTAAATAAATTAGTGGTCATTAGCAATGGGCTAGTGGTAGCTTAATGTGGAACCAAGAAATGAGTCATTTGATAGATAATGCAAAAGCAAAAATATCCAGTGGAAAAGAAAAAAACGGTCATAGACTAAAAAATAAAAAAAATAAAAAGTCTGATGTATTAACACTTATTTTGTTGTTGTTCACAGCACTATTTAACATGTTTCAGTGGAACTATAGCAGTTCCCTTTTTGCTAGCTGATGCCATGTGTGTCGGATTTGACCAGTGGGCCACCAGCCAGTTGATTGGGACCATTTTCTTCTGTGTGGGCATCACTACATTGTTACAAACAACTTTTGGATGCAGGTGAGGTTTGAGACTTGTTTCCAGGTGTGGAGATGGTGACTGTAAGATTTTCCAGGATGTAGGTAGAGATCCAAGAAGCAGCCTGTTTTCCAAAGGAGAAACACTAAATATGAGATAACTGTCCCCTATTCGTGAACTGCTTATTAAAATCTTTGGAAAACCTACCCTAATTAAAGACGGATCTGAAATCAGAAAATATATCTCATGGGTAAGAAAATCCAGCGTGTGGAAGAGGAGGAGAAAAGAGAAATCTTTGAGAACAGCAGGTAGAAGTGTTTTTGAGGAGAAGGAAAAATTCACGCACCTTTGTGAAGAAGAATTAATTGTGATGTTTTCATTGGGTTCTTTAACGTTTTCCGCACGTTTGGAAAGATTTATCTTAGAAACAGAATCTTTGGGTGGAAAAGTTATCTCAGTGGGGTGCAGAAGTAAAGTCTGTTGTATATTGAGATCAGTTCTTATCCAACGCTTTTTCAAGTATTTCAGCTTTTCTAATGTAATCTCCACTGATGTTTTAGTTTGAGAAGATACATTGCTTACATACTTTCTTGTCTTTTGACTTTGAAAAGGAATCTTTGCTTTGTTTTTATTACATTTTGTTAAATGTAGAAAATCTGTATTTTTTTAATGGAGAGCTCGGTATAATTGAAGCTGTTGAAAGAGAACAGTTTCTTTCCCCAGCGAATTTTCTTTATGTCGAGACTCATGTTTTCTGCCTGACTGGCTCTGTGTGCTTACAAGTTAGCTCCATTTAGCTGTAATCATAAATTCTCGAGTACCACATCTGAAAGGAAGCAGAGGACCAGTGTTCAGTGCCTTTTGATGCTCTGAACCTGATCGACCTTGCTCATGTTAGGGATGTTTTTTCCCCACTCCAGTTTGTGCTTTATGCAGGAAATGAAGAGATCATTGACCTAATTAGGAGACAAGGTCTTCTGTTTTTCATCTTTGAGTGTCTGCTTCCTGGGCTTATTGAAGTTGAAAATCTCTGTATTTTCTGGACAAATGCAGAGTTGTGATTGGATATTAATGCAAAAGGGAGCTTGGTTCTCCTGTACACCTAATGGGTTTCTTCTTCTGCCTCAGATTTACCAGAAGAACCTTACTTTTTGTATTTCCAGAGACCAGTATGTCTTCACGGATCTCAAGCTTGTCATCTTTCTTTTTTTTCCCTAGCTAATGTTGAGCTTCATGTCTTTATGACTTGCTATAGAAAGATTTGTGGCTCTTTCAAAAATAGGTGTGGTCCCATCAGTTTGAAATGCTCTGTTTCTCCTGTGTAATCCAGTGTTTGCCTTCTGTGGTTTTCCTTTTCAGTGCCCTTTTCACTTGCCCTGCGAAAGATGTGTTTATAAACTGAAGAGGTAATTGTGTTTGGGTCTTCTATTTAAGAAGAAAATTCCAGTGGCTGAACGTTTTGTAATGATTTAACATGTGATTCTGGTTTTATATAAGGGTGGGGCTGAGATAAAGCAGCAACGTTCACTAAATGAGATTTTCAAATATTTATTGGCATGCATCTCGGTTGTATAGTATTTCAGCAAATAAAGCCAGCATGGTTTCAGAAGGACAGATTCTGTGGTTTGAAGGTTCATTTGGCTCCATTATGAAGGAGAGTTCTGGTCAGTCTGGTACCCATACTAGTTTTTAGGAATTTGAGATATTTATTGGATTTCCTAATAAGCCAAAAGGTTTTGCAAGGATTCAGATTCAGAGCAGTTAACATGACTGAAACAATCCCATGCAGCTTTAGTATCTAAACATTCTAGGCTTATTGCTGTGCCCATCACTACATTGTCTAAGCATTCCTACGTCTGTGTGAAATGTTGATACAATGAAGGAGCTTCCAAATGACTTCAGCTTCATAAATAGCTCCATCTTCACAAGTGCTGCTGCCAGAATTGAGCAACTCAGCAATATAGCCATGATATTCCAATGGCAGGCTGGTGGTGCTTAGCTAGTGATGAATGCCTGGATTAGCAGTGGGAAGGCTATTTCATAAAGCACGTTCCAAACTACAGCTGTCTCTCCAGAAAGATACTAATTGTGGCTGGCTGACTTTGGGGAATGTTTTTAAAAAAATGATGGAGGGAGGTAGAAACTGTTATTTTCCGCTTAGACAAAAGCACAGCATTTTGAGCTCACTGACTCTTCTCGTAAATGGTTTTGGATTAGCCATCTTTCGTGATGGTTGAGCAGATAGCTTAGCAGGACTTGCTAAGACCGTATTATGCAATATGTAATTTTATCCAGGTGAATAGTCTGGGTCTACAAAGAGGATTTGGGTAGACAAAAAATACCAGCGTGTTTTTAAAAGCACCAGATAGCCCCAGTTCTGACAAAACAGCTGAAGTTAAGAATAGACTGGCTACAGATGAGGGAAGAATCTGTGCAATGTGAATATCTGGGTGAAGAATGGGCTCACTGGCCAGGCTCAGAGTCATGGTGATGAACGGAGGTAATTCAGTCGGTGGTTGGTCAGTGGTGGTGTTCCCTGTGATTTGTTTTTGGGGCTCAGTCTAATTAATTTTTTATCAGTAATCTGGATGAAGGGATCATCAGGTTTGTGGACCATACCAAGCTGGGTGTGACTGTTGATCTGCTTGAGGATAGGAAGGTTCTGCAGAAGGTTCCCAATGGGCCAGATCAGTGGGCTGTGTCTGTTTGTAGGGCATTCAGGAGGCCGGGTTCTGGGCTCCCGTGTTTGAAAAAGACCAGGAACTACTGGAAAGAATCCAGCAGAGGGCTCCAAAGCTGACTAAGGGCCTGAAGCACCTCTGTTACGAGGAAAGGTTGAGAGACCTGGGACTGTTTAGCTTGGAGGAGACCGAGAGGATCTTATCGACGTTCACAGATATCTAAAGGGTGTGAATATCAAGAGGGTGGGAGCAGGCTCTCCACAGCTATCTGGAAAAGGAGGTTGTGGAGGGATGGATGTTGGTCTGATTTCTCAAGTGACAGGTGGTAGTGCACAAGGAAGTGGTCTCTGTTTGTGATGGAGGAGGGCTGGACTGGATGTCAGGAAGAATTTCATCACAAAAGGATGGTCAGGCATTGGAGCAGGCTGCGTGGGGAAGTGGTGGAGTTGCCATCCTGTTTGGGACATGGCATGTGTGGTTTGGTGGTGGGACTCATTAGGTAAAGTTGAGGATTGGACGTGATGTTGCAAGCTTAATTATTTTATTATTGTGTGGTTTTATTATCTTTAAAAGGATAATTCTCAGTCTGAATGCCCACAGCAATTTGTGTCCTGTAAGTGTGCCACTCGTGAAGGTTGTGCAAGGTTTCTGGAGGGCGTTTTGTGTCATAGAAAACTCACAATCCAGACTTGTCTCAGTGTGACTGACTTCACCACTGGTGAATGTTCTTGCAAAGTGCGTTTACAAAATCATTATGCAGGGACAGAGTATTGTGTAGGTGGGACAGAGGAGTAACAGCTTGTTAAGAGGTATTACATGTTATGCTATGGGCACCAGCTTGCTCAGTTTGCCCAACGAACCTTGAAAAATGAGGTGAATCATTCACTCATAGCCGCTACTGTTTCTTCCCCAAAGCTTTGATTTTTGCTAGAGAAAGGTAAAAGGGAACTGCGTGCAGGTCAGTGGTCCTCAAGTGGTTCATGTGCTTCATATGGAGTGACTTTCAGACTCAACTCTGGAAGTTGCAGCAGATAGGTCGACTTGTTAGATTGCTCGTGGCTCGAACTCCTTGCTGTAAAAAGCTGGTCATCTGTTCTGACTTCCTGCCTGTGAACTTTTACAACTGCTGTTAGTAACATGTTTCTGTTTTGAACTTTCCTCTGTTAAGCGAGTTTTTTTTTTTTTTCCCCTTGTACCTTTTTGATCTTAATCGGAATCTTCTACAGTCAGTTCTTTTTCTTTTACTAAGACTTGTACTGGCATCAAGGCACTTGACTGTGGCTGTAAAACAGCCATAAATGCAGTTCAGTTCCTAGTGCTGCATGTGCAGCTGTTTCACGTGTTACGTTTGAGACCTGCTGTTAAAGAGTTACAGTCCATTGGTATTTATAGAACAGGTCAAAGTGCATCTTCTCTATAGTTAAGTAACATCTGAATATTTGTGATGCTGTGCATGCTACCGTACATTCAATAAATACATAGTTGGTGCTGGTGGATGCTCTTCAGATATTAAACCTTTTGGGAAGTGTAAACACCACTGCTAAGAATGTCATCTTGAAATTCTTGCAACATTTGTATTTATTGTTAGTAGCCACCTGGTACATCTAATCAGCACTTAGCAACCTAATTGCTGTTTACACATGTACTTAAAGATGAATCTGTAAATGACTCCATTTCAAGTCATGCAGTGGGAAGGTACTGAGTACACAGACTGCTTACCTCTATCAGAAGGCTCTTTAATGTGGTGAGACTGTGAAAGCTGAATGTTCAGCACCCTGGCTGGTGCTTACATCACAGCATGCATCCTCATCCTTGTTGTGATAGTGAGTCAAAAACTTAAGGCAACGTCTGGTACCTGCAGTCAGCATCCAGTAATTATCTGCTACAGGCATCTTGTTGACTTCACATACGTAGCATCTTTTGTTAGGACTTTCTTTTGGTGATGTCTTAGCATTTCTATGTTCTTTTTAATAAGAAATTCTCATATTTCACATTTGTGGCAGCCATCTGATACAGGATGGTTTTGAGGATGAATAAGCACCTAAGTGCAATTGATACCTTGACACAGTACCATGACATGGAGTAGCATTAGCATCTCTTCTTTCACTTTCCACCAGGTTACCCTTGTTCCAGGCGAGTGCTTTTGCATTCTTAGCACCCGCTCGAGCAATACTCTCCCTGGAGAAGTGGAAATGTAATAATACAGGTAATTGTCATTTATGCTTGTTCTCATTTAAGTGGCAAGTGACCCAGATGTCATATAGAGCAACTGCTGAACCTTTTGATATGGAAACTGCAAGTAATGAGCAGGGGATATAGAAAATGAACTCCTTTCACAAGGTTAAAACCTTGCTTTAGAAGATTTCTAAAAGTGCCCCCATGGATTTCTGGCTTTCATTCCTTTATGTCCATGTCTAATCTACTTGTTTTATAAGTGAGTTGAATGGAAGATGCAAAATTTAAGAGAGCCATTAAGGCCTTGTTAGAAAACTTCTGTTTGTTAGGGTTAACATCCAGTTGTAATTTCTGCTTTGATCACACGTATAAATCCTTTGATATTGAGAAGATTAAGCTACTGGGAAAGAGCACGTGGGTCTCAGTGCTTACCGAGGCATACTGTGGTGCATGTCAGTTCTCACACCTGTGTCAGATACTTCCAGATGACAGAACGTGCCACAGTCCTGGCATACCTGGTTGAGAGAAAATGCTGTCCAACAGATAACATTTGATTGCCAAAGCAATTTTTCCACTACTTGAGCTTTTCAGAAAGAACCTCTGCTGCATCTTGCTCCTTTTAACCTCCAGATATTGTCAGATGGGGCTCTTACCCGGGGGTCAGTTCATTGTTCAGGGAGTGACCTAAATTGGCTAGCAACAAACATTGGGGTGCTTCCTTGATTCCCAGCAATTGAGTAATTCCCCGTTCATTTGCTTATTTGAGTGGGAAAAATCTTTAAAAAAACCTTTATTTCTGAAAATGACAATTATTTTTTCTACTTCAGTACACTGGGTAAAATTAGTGGGTTAGCTCTTGGGAAATGTTTACACGTTATTACAAGATTTATAGCATTGCAGAACTTTTTAAAATCTAAACCAAAGTTCTTTTGCTAAGCTGTGTCAAAGGGAAATTGGTTTATTAAATGGTGGCAAACAAACAGAGGAATAAATACCTGTGTTTTGTCTTTTCTTCTTTTGGTAAGATATAACAGTTACAAATGGAACAACAGAACTGCTTCACACTGAGCACATCTGGTATCCCAGGATACGAGAGGTAATGTAGGAGTAGCCTTTTGCAGTTAATCTGTCCAATTTCAATTAAGTTTCTCATTTAACCATCTGTGTGTTCTCATCGTTACGTTGCTGGTTTCTTCTTTCACTGCAGTTTCATTGGAATATATCCCTTTACTCACTCTATGGAAGTCTTAATTTTTTTTTCAACTTGTTCATCGCTGTACAGCAAATCTGATGAGTTAGTTGTCACATTCCAAAAGATATGCAGTGAAATGCACAAGTGAGATGAATACTGTTCTTGTAACACTTGCAATTTGCACTCACCAGTAGCAGCTCCGCAAACCATGGGCTGCTAGCAGACCGCTCGCCTGCTCACTCTGGTCAGTAGGCTGTCCCGTGGAAGGTAAAAGGCAGTTAGCAAACGTGTTCATCCCCAGGTGTTCGAAGTTGGAGACTTCTGATAAGACCTGGATTCTCCCAAAAGATTTGCTGAAGTATATCAAACTCCTTCTCCACTTGAAGCGTTGCAGTCTGAACCTCACTGTTCACTGCAGAGCCCACGGTGAGGGTTGTGCCCAGGCATCCCACTACAGTGGTAGATAGCATAGTCCAAATCAAGGCGTGTGTCATGGAATTTATCTCCCATCCCGTTGCTTTGGGCTGCAAACTTTTTCTTAATTAAAAACAACCCCTCTCTCTTCCCCATGTTCAAACCATAGCTACATCCTGCCAAGAGCCCTGCAGCCAAGAGGGCTGACAGTCTCCTGAGACCACAACGCTGCTCTATACCAGCTTCTAAGGAGCACTTGTGAACAATGCAGCATACACTGCCCCTAGGAGCTAGGAGCATCACCTCCGTGGCGCCACCAACCCTTGCCGGCTCGATCTGAGAGCTTAAAGGTTAGCCTGGAACCCAGGTCTCCTGTCTGACAGTGTGATGTGCTATCCACACAACTACCAGACTGGCCCACTGGTCTGTTGTGTAATAGTTTTGTGGAGAAAAACCATAAGTGTTATGCTTAAGCAATAAGTCACTTAAACCTAATGAGCTGTTTTATGACAAAAAAAAAAAAATGCTGAGTTCTTCTGTGTCACTGAATTCTTTGAACTGCAGTTTGTAATCCAGAGCAGAAAAAGAAATGTTTTGGTTTCGCTTTTAAGATGCAAGTAAACTGTCTCTTTCCCTTTCTTGTGTGTTCAGATCCAAGGTGCTATTATCATGTCCTCACTGATAGAAGTGGTGATTGGTTTGCTTGGCCTTCCTGGTGCCCTGCTGCGATATATTGGACCTCTGACCATCACACCAACTGTTGCTCTCATCGGCCTCTCTGGTTTCCAAGCAGCTGGAGAAAGAGCAGGCAAACACTGGGGTATCGCTATGTTGTAAGTACTCAGGGTGTTTCTGATGTAGACCAGTGAGTCCCAGCTGGTAAGTCATCACAGAGGTGTTCTGGAGTGCCAGTGAGAAACCTGAGTCTGCCTGGCTGCCAGAGGTAGCGTGGCAGTGCTCCCAGCTTGGAGAAGCAGAACGTGCAGGAGTCTGGGTGGGATCAGCAAGCAATTAGGGAACAAAAACCACAGCAACTCATGAGAGGAGGAAGGAGAGAAGGCTGACAGTGAGATGTAGAAGACAGAATGTTGTGAAACGACAGTTTGTCCGGGAGTCGTGGGTCCATTAATTCAGTGCAAACTTAAAAGCAATTCTGCAGAACACCAGAGGGACAAGTGGACAACTTGTATTTCTTTTTTAGTGATGCTTTTGCACATTTCTTATTTGGCAAAAGCAAGCAAATGGCTTTGGTAGTAGTTGTCCATTTCTGATTTTTGTTATTTTATTTCTGCATATCCCCAGAAAATTTATTTGATGCCAGAATACATATTTCCATGAATGCCAGTTGCTGAGGAAACAGATTGGACTTTTAGGATGAATATGGTTTCTTTTTCTACACAGCTGCTCTTTTTTTTTTTTTTTTTTTTCCTTGCTATTACATCCTACCTCTACTTTTCTACCTTAATTTTCATTCAGTGGAAACTCTGAAGTTGCTTCAGTGAGTGCTATTTCAATCTCACGGTGAATTTGGAACTTACCTTATTTCAGAGATAGAATTAAACAAGAATGTGACAGTATTGGAGGACAGCTGTGGTAGCTTCGGTGTGTCTTGTATTATTCTTTTCTAAATTATAAGAATTGTTTCAGTTACTGAAGTGTAAGTAGGCTGACTGCTGTTCAGCAGGCAGAAATACTTGGTTTCAGGCCATGCTGTGCATATTTCTGGAGGTATGGATGCCAGGGAACAAACAAAATGCGATTAGAAGTACAAAAGGGAATAGCTGGGAGAAATGAGATGAAGCGAAGACAAAAGTTTCCTGTGAGATGCTGTTGATAAGCAGCCAAATTGGGATGGAAATCACACTCTAGGGAGCATGAAATTGGCTGGAGCAGCTGAAATATCCGATGTATAGCGACCAGCTTTGAACTGGCTCTGGAAGTGGAAGGAATGACTTGGTGCGATCAGACTGTGATGTGACACATCTGTTAGCACAGTACTTTGACCAAGTAAAGTATTCTGTAAGTGCAGCTTATGATTAAAAGGGCTGTTTAATTCACGATCTCCAATGCTAGCATTATGGATATTTTTGTAATTCTGTTATGTTAAGCAGCTGACACAAAGGAACATTTATTTTCCTGCAAAACAAATTCTGTGCAAGTTGGGACTGATGTTGTATTGATCACAGACCTTTGAGTTGGACATGGAGACCTGTAATGGCAGCTGATATTTTGCAGGTGGAAAAAATAGATCCATTTAGGAACAGGTTTAAATACTGCTCAGTCAATAAGTGTTTCTGGCTTCAGCCACTCAAAATGTGTGCTATAGAGCTGGAAATAACTCTGTGGTCATCTGCTGCCACTCAAAAGTAACTTGATTTCTACAAGATACGGCACTGAAAATGGTCTTGCCTGTTCTGATGGGATAAAATGACTGCATCACTGTCTAGCACAATGGGGTAATATTTGTGTAAGAGCTGTTTGCCTTCGTTAGCTGCAGGTGTGATTTGACAGGATTTCCAGACTCCAGAATGATTTTGTTGCCCTTGTCTGAAATAATTTAATGATAAAATACAGACCATCTCTAAAAGGGGAAAGTATTCCCTAATTTCTCTGCTTGTGAAGAAAAGCTCAGTTTTCAAGTCTTGTCTCTGTGTCCTGCTTAGACTCATGCCATGCATCCTCCTATCCTCCTCGCTGTCTTAAATAATGCAGCTTTTTTCTTTTTTTTAACAAAAAATGCCTGGTAGCTGTCTGTCCTCAGGGCTGAAGTGCTGTTAGGGAGTGGAGCCCATCGTCCTTCTGTAATGGACTTCTGGAGGAATGCCAAAGCATTTCCTGAACGCAAGGGAAAAGGTGTCTTTATCATTTGACTTCAGTCACAGGGAAAGGCTGTAAAGGATGCCCTTGTGGTGCAGAGCTCTTTGTTCCTGCAGATCGAGGGAGAAAATGTAGCTCTGTTCTGTTTCATGCAAGCTGAAACTGATCCTGGATAGGAAAGGGAGGGATGCTTAAATTCCGTCGTCTTTTCTTCTCCTTAATAAATCTGATGAAAACATAAGCTCAAATTGCAGGAAAGCTTTGCTCCTTCAGACAGCTCGACTCTTTCTGTAGCCTTTTTACAGCAAAATGCTTTTTGGTTACTTCAGAATTGATCAGCTCCTCCTTCCTTTTTATTTTACATTGCTGTGGGTACTTATTTCAGCTGTAGACTTGAATTATTTTTAACGTATGGAGGAGCTTAGCAATTTTGACAACAGGGAAATGCATAACACTTGAGGCATCTAAAAACTTTAATGAACTAGGGTACTGCTGACCTGCAGTTGACTGGGATCTTGGTTTTTGGGCCCTATTCTGTTACTATTGCATTAGTAATATTAGCTAGATTATAATAATATAATAATTATAATAATATTACCTAGTATTATTAGCTAGAATCACATCATAAATCATACTCTAGTAACATATGCAGCAAACATTGGGGTTCTTAAGAAGTGAATGCAAATGATGTCGCTTGGGATTACGTGGAATAATTATTTAAAACAAATTCTCTCATTTTGTTTTGTCTCGCTCTAAATTTAAATGTGTGCTTTTGTTTGAAGTCTGAGCAGCCTGAAAGATTTGTGCTGAGAAGGATTTTTAAAAGACTGGTGCTAATGACATCTCTCTCTTGTCCCGTCCTTCTCCTTTTCTTGTTGTTCCTTCTCAGGACTATTTTCCTCGTATTGCTGTTTTCTCAGTATGCCAGAAATGTCAAATTTCCCCTACCCATTTACAAATCAAAAAAAGGATGGACAGCATATAGACTGCAGCTTTTTAAGATGTTCCCTGTAAGTAGCTGAATTCATTCTTCAGTGGCCAAAAGTGACCCTAATGTAATGTTTGGGGACTTTTTTGCTTGATTTTGATTTTTCTTAGTAGTACAGTAGATGGCAGAGGTGAGATAAAAGCTTGAATGTGGTTATGGGAAACTCGATGGCTGATTTGTTCATTGTAGTCTTGCCAGATCCTATTCTGGCATCCATCTCTGATGGAGCAGTGAAGGTGATGGAGGGAAGAGGTAGAGAAGGACATGTTTTTATGCATGTAGTGAAAGCCTAAAGGGAGTCCTGAAAAAAGGGATGACAAGATCATTATCTTCTAGCTTTGTGAAAGCAGCACTCTGTTTCCCCATGTGAAAGGCTTCTTTTATTTCTGTTAAAATTGAGACTAATTCACAAGGCTAATTCACTAGCTCATGTAAGTGCCCATTTGGAGACTTTTCCATTTGTTAGCAAGATGGCAGACTTATTCTAAGGCTTCTGTAAGAGCACCTTCATTAGAGGTATAGGATACTCAGCAAATCTATTGCAGGATTTACTGCTTCTTCAGATGTAAAACATCACGTAAGATCACACTCAGTGCATGTGCAGTAGGTGCTCTGCAGCACCTGTTTGCTATGGATGCATATTGAGATGATAGCTGATCTTTAAACAGCTTCTCTATCTTCCTTTGCAGATAATTTTAGCGATCTTGGTGTCGTGGTTGCTGTGCTTCATCTTCACTGTGACAGATGTCTTTCCCCCCGACAGCTCCAAGTACGGCTTCTATGCTCGCACGGATGCCCGACGAGGAGTGCTCTTAGTGGCTCCGTGGTTCAAGGTCCCTTATCCCTGTAAGTATGTTTGGTTGTAAGGGTGGTTTTCTTTTGATAGCCTGCTAATGTCAGTTTTGCTAGATTTTATGTAGGTAGCTCCTGACTCCTAACGACGTGGATGTGACTGTATATTTAACACAGGGCTTCAGGTAAAGGGTTGATTTATCTGTACTTGTCACTGCTGTGGCCAGCTGCAGTTGATGTTACAGTAATAAGGGTGGGTTGTTATGACTTCAGTAGCTCCCTACAGGAGTTACTCATAGTTAAAGGAATCACCAGTGCCTGGAGTTTTTCCAACTTAATATGCTTCCCTGCCCCTGAAGGCAACTGTTCTTGAATTAGCACAACTATTAGAAAGCTGTGCAAATAATTTGACTTCCAGAATTGGGCTTATGGGCAAGCTGGCAAATGCCAGTCAATGCTTATGAAAGTGCAGAAGAGTGCATGAAAGTGCAAAATGCCTTATGTGGCACCTTGGTTGATTTAGTCTTTTGCCAGCTACATCTAAGTCTAAAGCTGTTAAAGGCTTTTTCTTAGGACTTGAGATAGAGCTGTACACTGGTCTGTGCTTGTGCTGCTCAGAAATTAACATAATCGTAACAGAATAGTACTCTTCCAGAATAGAATAATATAAATTGTTATGAATGCCCATACATCATAATGAAGGATCTGCACTGTGGTTTTTCATATGCTTTGTTTCTGGTTCTTAGGAAAGAACTCATCTAAAGCATTGCTTGCAAGATGTGTAATAGAAGTTTTTGGGGAAAGAAGAGGCAGAAAATTTTTCCACCCTCATTAGACCTTTCTTATTTGTGAAGCCTTCTTCTTTCATGTTTGTGTAACTTAAAAGTTCCTTTTGTTGCGAGAGACTCTTTATTTCAGTGAGATAAAAGCATCAAGGCAGTGGCTGTGGAAAACCTGCCAAGCTTTTCTGCAGGCTTAAATTAATCTTACTTTCCCTTGTACAAAAATTTAGAATTGGAAGTTGTTTGTGCAGTGATCATAGCTGGCTGTTGGACGTTGTCTTCGTTTGATAGACTAAACTTGTAACCAAAGACTGAGTTTTCAGAGGAATGATAATAAAGAGGCGTTTGCCTCACTGATCTGAATTGGGTTTTTTTCCCCTAGAAGTAGTTCAGATTCCTTCTGAGCAGGAGGAGAGCCCCCAAACATGATCAAAGCAGTCGGTTAGATGGTTATTTCTTTGCTCCTTTAATCTAATTGAACTTGCCAGGCTGTGTGACTGTGAAGGGAGTTTGTTGATTCCATTAGAGAATAATAAGCTGCTGTGCGTTTTGAAATCTAAATTGTTTTATGTGGCATGAGAGATTTCAGTTTTGTTTTCTTCACAGTTCAGTGGGGACTGCCAACAATTTCAGCTGCTGGAGTTATAGGAATGCTCAGCGCGGTTGTCGCTAGCATTATTGAATCAATAGGAGATTACTATGCCTGTGCCAGGTTGTCTTGTGCTCCTCCTCCTCCTATTCATGCGATAAACAGGTATGTCAAAAAGAGAAAAAGGAAAAAATGAGGATCAATTCTATTTTCTTATGTCATGTTTTTTTTCCTTGGGGCGAGACAGGATTCTGCTTTGCTGTTATGTGTTAGGCACAAGGGCTGAGGATGTGAAATGAGAGATGGAAGAGCTGAGTCCGACTCTGATTCAAAAGTAACATTGGAAACTTAGTCCTGTTCCTACTGGGATCTATAGAAATTAAGAAATAATACAGTTTCACTGGGGAGGGAACTCTAAATCACCTCCCCTAGGAGGACAGGCTGAGAGAGCTGGGGCTGTTCGGCCCAGGGCAGAGGAGGCTCTGGGGAGACCTGAGAGCAAGCAGCATTGCAGAGTTTAAAGGGGGTCTGTAGGAAAGAAGGGGGCAGATTCTTTAGCAGAGTCTGTTGTGATAGGAAAAGGGGAAATGGCTGCAAACTAAAAGAAGGGAGATTTAGATTGGATATAAGGAAATACTTGTTCACTATAATGGTAGTGAGACACTGGCATGGGTTGCCCAGAGAGGTGATGGATGTCCCATCCCTGGAGACATTCAGGGTCAGGCTGGACAGGGCTCTGAGCCGTGATCAGCTGTGGCTGTCCCCTTTCATTGCTGGGAAGTTGGACTAAATGACCTTTAAAGGTCCCTTCCAACCCAAACAATTCTATGATTCTGTGTGTTTAATTTCCTCGTTTTAGGAATGTGATTATTTGAGACACAGAAAGTCAGAACACAGGTTGATTTTCCAGCTGTATTGGAAGTTGAAATGTCAATTACAGTAATTCATGTGGGACAGATGCCTTAACAGGCACTGCAGTCATAAAGCACCATCTGAGTGAGTCTATGCTAAAACAAGTTTGACAATTTTCTGTTTCTGAATTACAGAGGAATTTTTATTGAGGGTCTCTCCTGTGTTTTGGATGGAGTATTTGGGACAGGGAATGGATCCACTTCTTCCAGCCCTAACATTGGTGTCCTGGGCATCACGAAGGTATGTTAATCAGCCAGTAACTTTGAGTATTATTTTGTCTTCTTGTGGTTGGGTTATGCTATTTTCATATTTTGTAGCTTCACTTTGTGCAGACTCAACTTTATACAGTATTCTGAACTTAAGCATCAGGCGATGCCTAATAGAAATCCATTCTAGAAAAGGATGCTAGGTAATGCTAAGCATTCTAAGTAAACAGGAGTTTAAAAGCGTTCATAATGCAAATGATGCAAAATAAAGCAGCCTTTTGAAAACCAGCGAAGTATTCCAGAATTGTAGTGTTCTTGAGTTGAGGCACAGACACTGTAAACTGCATGGAAATTAATATTCCTTCGGATCTCTTAGCCCTGAAAGCATTGCTACAGGACTGTTTTCAGTGTTTCATTTTGATACAATGAAATATAAATTGAGATCCTTGGGTCTTGTCTGCATCTGTACTAGGATGTTACACTGACAGAGCTAGAGCAGGAGCTGCAGTCAAGGTAACTTCAAAGTTAAAAGGTCTCTGTTGTGATGTGTTTATAAATCACTGAGCATGATTAAGGGGTTGCATTTTGGGGGCAGTGTCACTCAGCAAGATGCGTAAGCAGTTGAGGAATTCCTTTGTTTTCGTACTGAATGGATGGGTGGTTGAGTGCTGTGCTGAACGGGGGGACCTTGGGCTGCAGATGGATTTGCTCGACACTGTTAATTTAACCTTGTTAAGAAATATCAGCAGAATCAGTAAGAGCAATTCACGTCGTAACTGCGTACATCCTGTTGTGTGCTTGGCTTGGGAGCAGTAAATCTACTTCATGCAGGCAAGATGCAGAATGTACGTGCTCCTCTTGACATAACTCATCCCCCAACTTCATCCAATATAGATATGGATTTATCAGCAGCCATATTTTTTCTTCTACACAAAGGATGGCTCTGTTTGCTTTTGCAATGGAATATAAATACTAATAGCACCATCTGCTGTCTGTACAAGTGCTCCTTTCAGTGGGTGGAAATTTCCTAGAAGAAATTTGCTAGAAAAATCCTTAGAGAAAGGTTTATGTTGTTCTGCTCTTCCTGTTTCTCACTTTGTAGTTCCAAGAATTAACAAATATTTTTTACTGAGGGTGCAGGAATGAGCAGGCATTTTCTCTTGAAACAAAGAACAGAGTTAAGTACAGTGAGGTTTGTTCAGAGAGTATGATGGAAGAGTTGAATGTGCCTTATCTAGAGTGGCACAGCTGGATGGCTGTGCTGCAGTGTTTTGCCCTGTTTTGCTGTCTGAGTATTTGTCCCAAAAAAATCTAAACAACTTTGCAAATTCAATTTCTATTAGAATCAATCTGTACAACTTAGATACTCTGCTGTTAGTCGTAAAAGGCAATCTTCAGTGCTCATGAAAGTCTAAATAATCATAGTGATCCCACTATACCACTGCAGCTGTTGAAAGGGCCTCTACCTGCCTTGAAATTAGCATTGGTTGCATTTGGAATTTTGAATTCGAGGCTTCAACTGGATGGAAAGGCTGCAGAGCCTTTGAGCTGTACTGGATGAGAGGGTGACTGATTAAAACTCAACTGTTAGGCGAAAATTATAGCTGGCTTATGCCATAATGTCAGTGGTGTGGTTACATCTTTAAGGTGCCATACCCTTACTCACACTTTCCAAAACACTCTCTTAGCATGTGTACAAGTGCCTTGGAGTAATTGCATAGTTTAAGCTAGGTGCTGACCAAGATGCTTTCAGTTGCTTTCAAATCTCATGTGAAGTTTAATTTATTTGGCTTGTAGAGGTTGATCAATGTCACTGTTGTGGGGATCTTCCTTTTTTCAAAGATCTGGTTATTTCATACAGGAAGGTAGTTTTGGACCAAAGTGTTGGTGCTCATAAGGAAAGGAATATATTTATTTACACATAAATTGGGAAAGCTGCAGGCTAACTTGTATAGATTTAACTCATTTAGCTCAGTCAATGTGATGAACAAATTTCAATTTGTTTGAAACACAGTTTTCTAATAGAAGGTCTGCAGAGAGCTTTGCTAGAAACTGCTGTGTGAGTATAACCATAGTTTTTGTTTTGTCTTCTGCTCCTCGTGGACCTCTTAGGCTGTGTAACACTGCTAAAATGTTGAACGTTCAGATTGATCAATTGCAGTTACAACATGGTGCCAGACAGCAACTGCCCTGACGTCTGGATGCTTAAAATAGAAAAGGGAAGGAAGTGCAGACACTTGGTTTGGCGTTAGCACAGCCATCATTTGCAGCTGAATTGCATTCAGTTTTGATCTCAGAGGAATGTTATAAAATCTCTTGATAATCTGTCTAGAAAGGTTGTATCTCCTTCAGGTGAACTGCATGAAAGATGATTAATATATGTATTACTGTGTGAAAGGGTGGCAATGCATGAGTTCTTTTCACTTGTTTTCTGCTGATCTGTTTATAATCTCTCCTAGTTATGGTCTGCTTATTGTCTGTGTTGTGGATGGGACCATGCCCCGTGGTTATAGGGGCTACAACACTTACAGATTTTGTTAAAGCTCATTAAAGCAGACTTAAAGTTATGCTAGAACTGGACTGCAGCCATGTTACAGCTGAGTCTGAGGCATAAAGGCTCTGCAGCCTGCAAAAAATATGTGGAAGTTTGAATGTGAAAATGAATAATAAAATGCAAGGGATGAAGATGGATGAAGTGTAGACTTTGTGCCAGTGTGCTTTCCTTTTTGTTCTCCTGCAGGTTGGAAGCCGCAGGGTTATTCAGTATGGAGCAGCTTTCATGCTTTTGCTTGGGATGGTTGGCAAGTTCAGTGCTCTGTTTGCATCCCTGCCTGACCCCGTGCTTGGTGCCCTCTTCTGCACTCTCTTTGGTAACGTATGTTTTTTGCTCCTCTTCATGTAGTCTATGGCAGCATCTTGTTACACCAGTGCTGCATTTGTGTTGCTATCTTCTTACTGTTTTAAGAAAAAGAAGCCTGAAGAGTGAGACTTGTGCTGTTTTTATCTAGGGATGATTACAGCTGTGGGTCTGTCTAACCTCCAGTTCATAGATCTGAATTCTTCTCGCAACCTGTTTGTGCTTGGATTTTCCATTTTCTTTGGACTTGTCCTTCCCAGCTATCTCAAACAGAATCCACTGGTGACAGGTATGTGTTCCTGCTCGAATTCATGAAGTCCATACTAAGTAAATAAGAAGAAATCCAACTTATTATGGAGGCAGGAAAAGCTATTGGTAAGGAGACAGGTGTGTTCACAGGAAAATCAATTTGGATGTTGAGATTGGAGCTGAGTGTTTTGGTGGGGTACATCTCAAGTTGTCCTGCTTTTCTGGGTAAGATTGCAGAACAATGCCAGGACACAATTGCCAGCTGGACTGAAAGAGGGACTGCAAAGGTGAACCTGAGTTATGAAAAGTGTCGAAAGAACAGGTGGAAGTACTGAGTTGGCCTTGGAAACCAGGAGTTTGTTTTCATTTTCCAGCTTTTCTTGTCACTCTGGATGTGAGTGGAATCTGAATTTTAATGCAGTCAGTTTCAGATTGTTGCTTTTGATGGTAAATGTCATGAAAGGAAGGCTCTGTAGAGGGGCACTGAAACTGATTTTGAAAAGGAAAGGTTTTCTTACAGCTGTCAGTTCAGAACTAGATGTAAGAGCATAGCTAACCTTTTTTAGCTTGCATAGAAAAGTAGGTCATTCAAGCAAAGAGTTAGATTACAATATTAATACAGCGCTCTTCAGTGGAAGATTGAGCAAATTCCTCACTGAGCTGAATGGCAGTTTTCCCTTGTAAATCAATAGAATGTGCTTATGTGTGATTAAAGTTCAGGCAAACAATAAATTATTTTTCTTTTCTGTTCTAGGAATAGCAGGCATCGATCAAGTATTGAATGTTCTTCTCACTACAGCCATGTTTGTTGGTGGCTGCGTTGCATTCATTTTGGATAATACCATTCCAGGTCAGTGTGAACTGCAGTTTTACCTGCAGTAGTGACTGCTTCTCTGAATGCTGGTAGCACAGCACCTCAGGGAGGGAGACAGGAGATGAGGAGGTAAACACTGCTGCTTTTGTTGATGTTTCTGGAGCAGGGTACTTCATTCTTGTATGCCTCTGATTCTTTGGTAATGCTTTGATCCCGTTTCAAGCTAAGATTTCCATTTTCTTTAAAAATAGAAAATAGCAAAGAAAAAGTCAGGCCAGGAGGCGCTTAGAATCATAGAATCCTTAGAGTTGGAAGGGACCTTTAAAGTCATCCAGTCCAGCTCTCCTGTGATGAGCAGGGACATCCACAGCTGGATCAGAGCCCAGTCCAGAGCCTGCTCCAGGCTTCTCCAGAAGACACAGTAAAAATATTTTGGGATTCAGAATATTCCATTTTGAGAGCAAAAATTTGCCTCAACTTCCAGATACGTAATTGTGTTTTCCATATTTTTATTTCCTCTTCGTAGAAGATCCTCCCAGTGCTTTACTGAACGAGGTGCCTGAGTCTTGAGGCTTGTCTTCTTTCTGCTCTTCCTCCTGGTGTGTGTCTATGTGTACCTATTTATTCTACTTCTCTACTTCTAGGAAGCCCTGAAGAAAGGGGAATACGGAAATGGAAGAAAGGGGTTGGTAAAGGAAGCAAGTCATTGGAAGGCATGGAAACGTATGATTTGCCTTTTGGCATGAACTTCATCAAAAAATACAGGTGTTTCAGCTTCCTGCCCATCAGTCCTACCTTCATGGGTTACACGTGGAAAGGCTTCAGGAAAAGCAGTAACTGCAGGAGTTCAGATGAAGACTCAGAAGCTACAGTATAGCCTTAGTTGAAACTATATTATGTAGTTGTAGTAAAAGATGTATTTGCAGTTTCTTGCTGATAAGAAGCATTAAAATATATGTTTTGTATATCTGCATTTAAATTCTGGAACCAGAGCTGAGACAGATTTAAAAAAAAAAGAAAAAAAAGAGAGAAAAAAAGCTTTCCTGTTGTGGGTGGTGGTAGCCAGATCTAGTGTCTCTGTTGGATTCCTTTTCTTCCTTTTGTCCAAAGCTATCGATACCTGCGTACCAAGTCTGCTTATTTTAGGTGGGACTTAGGTTCCTGAAATATGTAGGTGCTGTTGAGAATGTTACTTTTTATGGTGGTTTTATTTAAGTCATTTATGCTGGCATTTTTGGCTCGCTCATTGCTGGCAATGTTAGTCATGCCAGAAAATCTGAATCCTGTGAAAAGGAAAAAGTAATAATTGCAATTATGCCTAATCACGTCTCTTTTGTTTCTGACCACTGATTTGCACATTCCATAGTTTCAGATCCCTGGAAACCAGACTTATTTTAAACTGGCAAATCCCAAGACTATTTTTCAGATGGCTTGATGGTTCAGTCAGATGTCCAGCCTTACGGCAGAAGTTTCCATAAGAACTCTGCCTGTGAAAACTCTGAATGACTTCTGTTGGCTTCTTGCTTGAGAAAGAATCACTCATGTCGTATCAGTTTGCATTTTTGAATTTCTCCATTTTCTGCCTGGCTTTTTAACCACCCAACTGCTGTCCAGGAGTAGGTTCTTCTCTAGAGGGATGTAGCTTGACTTTTGTAGAGATGGGAGTCTTAACTTCCAGGTGGAGCCTGATAGCAGTTCTGACAGGGCAATGAATGGATGCAGCTGGATGTTTCCTAAACAAGAAGGCTGCAGAAGTGGTTCAGAGGGATTCACACCTGTGTGCACGTGATCAGAAGGCAACCAGCTTTCACTGGTGTGCATCTGTGCATTTCTTATTTGGATGTTGAGATCCAGTGCTGCCTGTGACTGGCTTCTGTTGCATTGCCTCTTTTTTTACCTCTTTGTGGGATTACTGTAAAAGCTCGCTACTTCTGCAGAAGTGATCTTGAATGGCAGAGACACTACATTTGATGTCCTCATCCACTGGATGGTTTAACGGGTATTGGGTCCAACCAGGGCACCATTCAGATTTTTTTTTTCCTGGAATAGTCTCAGCTCTGATGTTGTGTGAGTGTTGATGCTCATCATGCATTCATAATTAAAAGTTTCATTCATGTTTAATGTTCTTACTATTGCAAGTTAGTTTTAGACTTCGGTGTGGCCCCAAAAGCATTTTTAAGCTGTGGAGATCATCAGGGAAATGTAGTGTAATGTAATTTCAAGGCCAGTATGCTCTACAGTGCTTGCGTTTTGTGTTCCTGGAGAGACGTAACAGTAGATCCTGTAATTCACTGGTATATTTATCGAGGTTTGACTACTGGACAGGAGCGCAGGAACTCTGCTTTCTGAGTCTACTTCCACGTGAATTTGTTATTGGTTATTGAAGCATGGATGGGTTGGGGTGGGGAGGGCAAGGAAAGAGCTTTATGGATCAGTACTGAGTAGCGTAGGATTGGAATGGTTCCATGGACATCCTTTTTCAGCATGTCATGGCTGTTTCCAGAAACGTAAAATAATTCTGGCTTTTTTTTCCATAACAAAGCATGTGTTTGTTCCTGCTTCGGGGAACTCTCAGTAGTTTGCAGTCTTTGTGTCAGTCGGTCTATCTTGAAAGCTAGTCAGAAGAGTTACTGTGTCATAGACAAGGTTGGTTTGCCTTTAAAACTAAGTCATTTTTGTCATTTGAGATTCTCCTCTACAGGTAGCGACACGTTAGATTTTCACATCCACTTACAAATAGATTTGAATGTGGGGACTTCTAACTAGTGGCTCAGAGCTTCCAAATTTCCCAACTTCACGTGCAACCAAAGATGTGTGAGAGAGGTGGAGGAGTTGAAATGAATGGGCAAGGAAAGAAGGGAAAATCCAGCTGTGTGTGGTGGTCATTGTCACAGAAAATGCCAAAGTTGATTGTCATAAAAATGTTGAAAGAGGCAAAGGTTTGGTATTCAGTGCACTGCCACCTCTTAAATGCTGAAGCTCCTGGGAGCTGAGCACAGCAGTGATTGCTGTGTCCTGAGGCTTTGCTCAACTTCCCCCCGGATATGAATGCTTAACATTGAAGAGAAGGCGGTGAGCAATAGTGATCTTCTCTCACCTTTGGATGGAGTGAAGCTTTTTGTGTGCTTCACTGTCTTCACTTGAGCGTGTCAGCAAGAACTACCAAGGTGATTTGTGACACGTGGGTTAAATTAAGGCAATGAATCCAGGGATTTTTTTCCTTCTTCCTGGGGCAGAACCACCCCTCTGCTGTGGCATGGGCCAGGCCTATCCAAAGAGGTGAATCCAGATGACTCTATCCAACTTGGATTTAATTCTTTCTCAGCTTTTGTTTCTCCCATGCTGATTCTGTGGACTGGCTGAGAAGTGCAGTAGCATTTAGCTGGCATGCTTTGCTTTTCTAGCCACTTAACTCAGTTAACACTAAGATAAATAGTTGTAGTTAGCAGTCATTTTTGTAACCAGATCTGTATTGTGCGTAATGACACTGTCAATCTTACTACAGACACAAACGATAAGAGGTGAGCCTCAGTTCTGCAGTGGAGATCTGCTGAAGCATGTGTAATGTAACGTGTAGCAAAAGGTGATGGTGTTGGTGATGTTTCCCTGGATGTGCAGGGAAGGTTCTGATGCAGCTGCTGCACCTTGAATCTTTGTATTGCAGCATGCATCTCTGTAGAGCTTTGAGGCAAGCAAAGAACAGCGCCGACAGGCAACTTGCCTTGGGAAGAGGAGCTCCCCTTTCTCCTGATGCCCCTGGAGCAGTCCCAGGGTGCCACTCGAAGATGCAGTGCGATGCAATGCTTACTTTCCTTTGTGAGGGAAGCACTGAAATTGCCCCCGTTTTTGTGCAAGTGGCAGGCAGTCGTGGACCCTAAATATTCCTCCCTCGTCCACTTTTCTACATTTGAGTCTCAGTGTGGCTGGTGTGAAATGCCCTCACCTGGAGGAGCGCGGGTTGAGCTGCAGTGCAGCAGTTGCTGCTGGCTTGAACAGCACTTGAATCCTCTGTTCACCGTTTCCATCTGGGCTCGGAGTGCGAGGGCGGCTGGGAATGGCTGACACGTGAGGCTGGTCCGAGTCTGTGGCTGCCTGCCTTCAAAGCGCAGTGCTGAGCAAAGCTGCCTGCAGCAGACAACAGCTGGTGGACGAGCAAAGAGGCACTGAGACGTTTTGACCAAGCGTTGAGGTGGAAGGGCAAATATTCATGGTAGAAGTATCACTTTGTCATACCAGAGATGGCTTAAAACGTGTGCAAAAGGACACAACTTCGGGCTTTTGTAATCGCTCTTGTATTTTTTTAAGGTTAAATTAAGGATTGTTGCTAACATGGCGAAACACGTTTTCCTAAAGCAAGTGTGTGCAAATTGCAGAAATGTAGGTGTCAAGGCGAGCTCGGCTGTGGCTGGCTGATGTTGTCATATTGGAATGTGCTGGCGGGACGTGAGCGGTTGCCTCGCTCAGAAAGTTCAACCTTTAAACCCAGAATTTGCTTTATGCCTTTTAATACTGACTTGAAATATGACAACTTGGTTTGTACATGAATATTGCAGTATTTTATTTCCATATATTAAGAATAACATTTCCACTCAGGATAATGACTGCAGTTTTCCTGGGAGGGAGTGGTATGATTGTCATGACAATGTCATGTGATGGTAGAATTTCTTCATTGACGAATCTATAGTAGTTGTGTATACTTTATTTACCCATCCTTATGTTCCTACAAAAACTGAAGGGTTTCTTTGTTCATCTCCCTACTGAGATCTCAGTACTCCGGTGCAGAATTGGCTCTTGCAAACTGAAATCCTCAGTGCTGTTGGTACCAGTCGTGTGTCCGTGGCAGAAGGTGTTCACGTGTGGACAGGCAGCCCTGCAGGCACACGTGGTTTATAGCAGCCAGCTTCCAGTGGCTTTGGTTAGCCGTTGGATGTTCGCACCATCTGATACAACCTGTGCTTAACGTGACTTGTGTATCGGCGTAGAGGGTGCATGTGACAGACCAGCACAACCCACAGTGTTCCTCTGGTGTGGCCTTCTTCAACCGAAACCTGCCTGAGTACGCGGCTCTCGTCTCCCTTTTCCCCCTCCTGTCCCACTTGGGGCTTTGCACCGTTCCTTGCCGAGGCCGACGGCCTTCTTGGGGCAGGGGATGGCACACATGCAGTGCTCTCACGTTTCTGCAGCTACAACAGGTCATTACAGTATTGGAGGAGGCCACAAGTTTGCCAGTGTTGGGCTTCTGCCCGCGAGTCCATCCGGCTGAGTGCTGGGCTGCACTGGGGATCTGTGCTTAGAAACATCCCAGCTATTCCTGTCTAGTTCTGATTCGACTGTGACTGTGCGTTGTCATCCGTACGTATTGATATCAGAGAGATTTAGAATTGCCTCGTGTGTTATCTGGCATTTTTTACATCTTTCCAGGTCAGCCATCCTGCTGCCAGTCCAAATTCTTGTACTTTGTCTCTTTATGACAACCTTGGGCGTAACAAACTATTGACTGTTCTTAGGCAGTGGGGATAAATCTTTCTTTCTTTCTCACGATTTTTTGTGACTGACTTTGGCTGTAAAACTTCTTTGTTAAGCAAGAGGGTTTTTCTTCCTTTTTCCCTCCTTTCCCCCTTTTGTTGTTCTGAGATGTGTAATTCTTTTATGGAGTTTTTTTTTTTAATTTCGTATTTTTTTCTAACATGGCTTCATTAAACAAATATTTAAAAATGTAATATTTGGACCAGATGTTGTGAATAATAGTAGATAAAGCTATTTTATTCTGTATTTTTAAAGCTGTTCAGTATAAATAAACACGGGCATAGACGCAACTGGGCGCAGTGCTGTTCTACTTGCTTCTGACACCTCCCAAAAGGAGAATCGGTGGGGAATCCAGATGATGCCAAGACCTCTGTCTCATCACAGCAAGTGCTTTTCCAGCAGCACAGCTGCAGGTGCTCCCTGATGCAGAGCTCTTATCGTGAAGACTTTGATCAGCCCAGATCTTGGTGTGCTGGAAATGACAGCATTTGCAGGTTGTGTGTCGTGACAGAACCGTTTGGGCAGCCAAGGAGCAGTGGAACCCTCACAGAGTTGACACTGATGCCTCTCCAGGCAGCGTCCGTGCAGCAAAGCTAATTGCTGGTCTCCTGATTGAAATTAAGCCTTAGGGTTGGGTGCTTGCCTCAACTGGGCGCTCTGTGGCCTCTCGGGCCCCAACTGAGTGCTGCTGTTGGCTGGAATGATACGTGTGGGCGCACAGCACCTTCAGTCTTCTGCCAGCTCTCGGGGTGTCTGAGCTGCTGTTGATTTTGAGTTAATTTTAATTAAGGCACCCAAATACCTCCCTTCATTTAGGCTTATCCCACAGCCTGAAAGCTGCACAGCCACCGGGCAACAGATGGGAAGGGGAATGGCAAAGAGCCACCCCAGTCAGCAGTGGGAGCTGGGTGGGTTTGTGTCTATGAGCAGCAATGAGAACCACTCTGATTTAATCCCAATTAAGCCTTTGTCCGACTAGGTCAGAGCTCTGGAAATCCCCGAGTTTCCTACTTGTGCACTGCCTGAATACAGATTCAGCATCCCAGAACGAGTGGCTTTGTGCTGGGCAGGTTCTCAGAGGGATTTTCAGAATGAGACATTGGGCCCATCCTGCAATGAGGGCGGTGACCACACAGCAAAGAAATCCCTGTTAGCTGTCAGCTGAACCTTTAAACCAGAGCGTCCCTTCCCGTCTGGTTCCTGGAGGCTGCTGAGCAGCCAGCAGGCGCTGCTGGGCCAACGAGAGCCCCGTGCACCACATTGATGGGTATTTCTGGACGACTCCTCGGGGGCCTTCAAGCCGAAATGCTGGAGAGCAGCCAGGGTGTGAAAGTGAGTTTGGATGTTGTTTGGATGTGCTGAGTCTGGGGGGAAATAGGGGAAGTTTGGGTGCCTTCCACTGGGGTCTGAATAACTCACACCCAGTCTCCATATGGGAGCAGAAGCAAATCCCCCCAGTGCAAAGATGTAGAAGGCTCATCTCACACTCGCTGCACAGAAAAGCAGCTCAGGGGAAACTTCAGCTTCAGAGCATCCTTTCCCTGTAGGACCACAGTGGGGCAGAATTTGGGGTCTTACTGTTTTTCCCAACGTGGGTTTGGTTCCCATTGTGTTTCACTGCTGTGGATGTGTCTCTCCTTTTAATTTTCTCTTGTTTTTTGCTCTGCTTGCTTTAGGGATAAGCCCCTACTTCAGGGCTTTGCAGCATGGCAGCTCTGCTCCCCTCTGCCATGCGGCCACAAAGGGCCTCTCAGCTCCGCCAGCCCCAAAGATGCTGCTGGAATACCAATAATCCCCCCTTGCTGCCCCCCTTCCCTCCTCCTTTTGCCATGTCAGTGTTTCCCCACGCCAGATGGCTCCTCCTGAACTCCTCATATTTTACACACACAGACTGATTACAATCTCAGTTGTGAAGAGCTGCTTGTTTTGCTAAAGCAGCTGTTTAGATGATTCCTTTGTTCCTGCCTTTTTATTTATTTTTTTCCCCCAGTGTGGGCTGTTTCTATTTAAAAAAAAAAAAAAAGCCAGGGAAGCCACAAAGCAGTGGGAAAGGTCAGGAGCAGACAAAGGCTCTGCTGCTCTGACAGAATACTGAGTGCCTCCGTGCCCCCCCAGCCCTCCCCCATGGCTGTTTGCTGGCCCTGTAACACCATCCCAAAGGCAGAATGGCAGTGTGGAGCTTGCGTGGATCTGGTTCTGAATATCACAGGGTTTGGGGCATTTCAAGGCATGAGTTTAGCCTATGTGGTGAAGGCCACAAAGCATCCCCAGCGTGTTCTGTACAAAATTGGAGCTGATGGTGAGAGTATTTCCAACCTGGGCGGCTGGGATTGCAGGCCTGCTGCTTGGCATAGGGCATGTTTTGGGAATTCAGCCACGGTGCTTGCGATGGGAAACCCAGTCCTAGTACTTGGGTTGGGACATCCTTTGGAATGGCAGTCCTACCATCTGGGGTAGGACTTTGCTTTGGGAATGCAGCCTTAGTCCCTGGGATGGGGCATCCTCTGGCATTGCCATGCCATTATCTGGTACTGGAAACCCAGTCCTGATATTTGGGATGAAATAACCTTCGGGATGCAGCCCTCGTGCTTGTGATGGAGCACCTTTTGGAATGCAGTCCTGGTACCTGGGATGGGGCACCTTTGGGACACCCAGGTGCACAAGCCAGACCTCATTTGTGATCATACTCCCACAGCTGGGACGTGCCCTGGGTCCCCCCTCCTGCGCACCCCCATCTGCCGGAGCCGGGCATCACCCAGCCGAGGGAACCGCTGGGTTCGCAGGGATGCGGTGCGAGACTCGAGGAAGCTCAGGCTCCCTCCCTCTCCTCCCTCCCTGCAGCCCTGCCCGCGCTCCCCGCCCCGCTCCGCCCCACCGGGGGCGGCCCCACGCGGACAGCGGGCGCGGCGCGGAGCAGCGCGGTGCGGGGCGGTGAGTGCGGGACGGACGGGGCGGCCGCGTTCTTATCCCCATCCCTCTGCCTTTCCCCATCTGTGTCCTCATCCCCGTCCCCGAGGCGGAGGGTGGCTTTACAGCCCCCTGCCCTCCCGTCGGTGTCACCTCCTCATCGCTGCCTTCGCCCTCATTCGTGGAGTTGGCTGCGTTAGCAGGGAGCTGCGAGCACCCATCTGCGGGGTCCCAGCCCTGCACGAGACCCCTAACCCTAACCCTTCCCCCCGGTTCTCCCGTACCCGAGCTGAGCCCCCATTCCCTGCAGCCCCCATGGAACTGACGGCCGATGGCTCTGCACGGGGGGAGTGAGCTCAAGCGAAGGGTCCGCTCGCTCAGCCCTGTGCCGTCCGCCCAACCACCGCCAGCTCTGCACCGCTCACCGCTCCCTCCTCTCCCCTTTGACAGGACGGAGCTGAACAATAGCGGAGCTGGAAAACAATGGGACCGCCGCACCTTCACGCTTAGCTCGGGAGAAATCCCTGCTTGAAACCATCATTTGGACCGGAGCTGGTGGGAACCATCATTGGAGTGCTGCTGGGATCTGCTTGCAGTGGGTGAGGATGTGCAGCCGGAGCCCATCGCCGAGCAATGCCTCTCCCAGTGCCTAAAGGGGATAATTGTTGCCTGCAGATGTTGCTTTGCTTCTGCATTGGGATCGATGGATGCTCTGATGCTGTGCTGCCCTGGGCAGAATCAGGGCAGGAGGAGCAGCGCAGGGTTGGGATATTCCCACAATCCCTCACTGTGTGATGGGAAAGCTCTCCGCCCTGAAAGCAGCAAGAAAGTGTCCCCCAAAATGCACTTCTGATTGCAGAAGCGGCTGCATCCCTTTTCTCCCACTGAAAATGTCATATTTGGATATTTGGATATTTTTCTCTTTTTTTCCCTCTTTTTTTTTTTTTTTTTTTTTTTTTTTTTGCAGGGTAGCTCCTCAGGAGCTCTGCAGCAGCAGCTGCTTGGTTGCCCTCTGCGGATTAGTAGATGGGGATCTACTCTGGGGGTCAGGGAAAGGACCTTAGGAATGGTGTTTCTAGGAGGGATTACGTTTGGGATCGGACGCAATGGTGGCAGTGGCTGATGGGTCCTATTTGTAGGCAGAGAGCGCTGGGGCAGGAGCATTGCTTTGGTTAATTTAAAGCATCGACACAGCCCCCAGGCTGCTGAGTCCTCAGTCTGTGGCAGAAGTGAAGGAAATGCATCAAAACTGGGAAGCTGAAGCATGGGGGTGCCTGGAAAATCTGGCCATGCCAACTGCAGAGGTTGGGCAACCGAATGGACAACATGCAGATTCCCTGCTGTTCTACTGGGGTTCTTTCCAGCACTTCAGGTTTACCAAAGCTACAGCAAAAAATCCATAGGGTTGCAGTTTGGGGATCTCTGTCAGCTGCCCACTCTTTGCTCAGCCTGATGCTCTTGAGACCCAAAAAAGGAAGAACTGCCCCGTTCCTGGCTGCTCGGAAGGGGATGTGATGACGGAGGCGAAGGTGGCAGTGCTGTGGGGCGGTAAACAGGAAATCCAGCTCCTCCCTGCAAGCATTCAGGGGGAGAAAAAAATGCTTTTGGGGGCTCCCCTTCTGCCTCAAAATGGGTGCTTTTTGATTTATTCATTTATTTTGCCATGATTTTGCCCCATGTGAGGAAGTGAGGGGTTGGGCTTCAGCCCTTTTTGTCACTCTGCGCTCATTGCGAAGGGTTTGGGGTTTGTTTTGGCCGCTTTGGTATTGTTGGTGATGTTTCTGCATGACCCAAGCAATGTTATCCTCCCTTATGGTTACTTCCATCATCTGGATTGGATGAGCAAAGCACTGACTGCTCCACGTGCTGCAGCTGCCAATGCTTTGGCTTAACCCAAATTCTGGTGCCATGCAATGCTGTGCCAGGATTTATCCCAGCACCGTCAGCATTCCCTTTTCCTATGTAGTTCTCCATGCACGTGGAGGGTCATTATTTTTTTTTCCCCGTTTTCTTGCTGTGATGAACCACGTGGATGGGGTAAAGGCCTTGTGCTCATGTGGGGCTGCAGTGCTGCTCTTCAGGAAGCGCGCGGCTTCGTCAGCTTTTCCGCTGCAAGACGCGATCTTTGCAGGGCGGCTTTCTCTTCTGCTTTCTGCTTTGCTTTTGCAAATGCTTCCCTCCATTGGACCACGAGTGTTTTCCGTTGCGTGGTTTGTTTGCTGTGAGCTTGGGATAAGGATTGCTGCTGCCCTCGGGTCTTTGGTTTCCTCTGACACAGGTTTTGTCCCGTGGCCTTGCTTGAATCACCCATCCCTCTGCGCATCGCTGTGGGTTTGGAGTTTTGCTTTTGCAATTCAAGTTTTGTTTGTTGGAGCTTTGGAGT